ACTTTTGATGTGGCTTTTTAAACCGTTTGTGTGGGCTTATTTCAGAACATTCTGAATACTTTTATGTTACTGGTCCATTGTGAAGCTTCTCATGTGACACATATTGCACATTTAAAATATGTAAATTAAGTGGAAGGTCAATAATACGTATAGAAAGTCTGACACGTAACAAATGTGCATATGACTGCAGTGTGCACTGCAATCTTAAACATGTTTAGTAAGAATTAAATTCCACTGAGTTCACTGGGACCTATCTCAATTACCAGTTTGGATCCAGGCCAAGCACTTGTACTTGTGCTGACTTCCCTAGCCTGTACTCCCTACGACAAACCCTCAAAATGGTACATTCAGGAGATCTTGCTGAATAGTATGGCCTGCAGTGCAGATGGGAAAAAGAGATCCCTGGAAACTGGGTGGATACACCTTTTCTAAGGAGATGTTTTCCAACAGTATGATGCAGAGCAGAAATCCAAACCACTGGATTTATAATTCCAGCTTTAGTCATGCACCACTGAAACCACTATATGAAAATTTGATAGTTAACAAACTTGAAATGAAGGGAACGTTTATGGCTTCTGCTTAACTATAGCATATTAGAGCCACAGATATACATTCTCTATTTTGGAACGAACAAAAGCTAGCCAAAGTTAAGTATTTTTAACTTTCATTGAGATCAGATACAGTTAGCCTTGATTATAGCCAACTATAGTGTCACACCAACTGACATTTTTAGTTGGTCTGGTATCATTTTAAAAATGGCATTCACAATATTATAATTCAGTTTATTAGTTCTTTTTAAAAATTAGAGAGAGATCTGTTATTGTAGCTTTTTAGCTATATAAAAGTATTCCTAGGAAAGTGATAGCAAATCATTACTGCCTACTTTAAAATCCCACATAATTGTGAATGGTTCTGACTTAATTTTAATTATAAAAAGTAATCTAAAAAATAAATGTTACAACTTTTACTTCCAAATTTTCAACTTTTGCTGACTGGATAGCTCAGTGGTTTAGGTATCTGGCCAGAGGTTGGGAATTTGATTCCTTACTGTCTCTCCTGGGAGAAGTGCCAGCATGTGTAGCCGTGGGCTAGCGGCACAGTCCAAGGATGACTCCAGAAGAGTGAATGGTAAACCACTTCTGAGAACTCTCTACCTAGACAACCTTTTAAAAAGTCCCCATATGTCAGAATTGATTTAGCAGAGCATAGTTATATATTTGCAACATTATAGGGGTGAGAATCACCAGAGGGCACTCTTTCTTTTTCTAAACAGATGATCTGTAAAGGGAACCTTGAAAAAATTGTTTTATATTATTTGGTATTATTTTTCTATTATTGAAAAACAGAGTGCAGATAATACACTAATCTGGAAACTGAGTTATCTATATAAACTACATTTAATGATCTGCCATAAACACAGTAGAAAATACAATGCATAATTACAGATTAACGGAGTTCTGTATTGTATTTCACCATAATATATATTACCAACGAGATGAGTGCTCACTGGAAGGAGAGATCCTGAAGCTGAGGCTCCAATACTTTGGTTGTCTCATGAGAAGAGAAGACTCCTTGGAAAAGACCTTGATGTTAGGAAAATGTGAAGGCAGGAGGAGAAGGGGATGACAGAGGATGAGATGGTTGGACAGTGTCATAGAAGCGACCAACATGAATTTGACCAAACTCCGGGAGGCAGTGGAAGACAGGAGGGTCTGATGTGCTCTGGTCCATGAGGATCATGAAGAGTCAGACACGACTAAACGACTAAACAACAACAACAAAAGATGGGACTTCATAAAATACCAAAGCACATATTTACTAAGGATCAAATAATAAATAGATCCACTAGTTATGTCTTGACATAGCTAAATTATGGAATTATCTAACCCAGGTTGTGAAGATGGTCACCAATACTTATAGCTGTAAAAAGGGTATGTTGTGTAGGGTGCTATAGTGGATATTGTGTCATCAGAGCAGGACTCAGGGGAACTGTATTTAAATGCCTGTTCAGCCATGGAGGCTCACTGGAGGTGGCAATGGTAAAACCACTCCTTAAATATCTGACATACCATATTTTTTGCTCCATAAGACGCATCTTTCCATAAGACGCACCAATTTTTTAGAAGAAAACAGGAAAATATAATCTGTTTTCTTTGCTTCATAAGACGAACAGACTTTCCACCCCCCTGTTTTGTGGGGGAAAAGTGCATCTTATGGTGCGAAAAATACGGTACCTTGAAAATCCTAATATGGCCTTCATAAGTCAGAAGTGACTCAATGGCACATATCAATGGCACATAATACAAAATACAAGACTAAAAGGGTGATAAGTGCATGGAAAATAAATCTACCAGTGACAGTTATTCCTCAGTTATGTGCTGTCTCTGAGATCAGAAACAATCTGCCTCTCAATGCCAGTTGTTGTGAAACAACAGTAGGAAGGTCCTGTTGTCCTCGTTTCTTTCTTGTGGACTTCCCATTAACATCTGGTTAGCCCTTGGCAGGTGGAGATAAGGCCTTTGTTTGGACCAGCATGGTCCTTCATACGTTTGATGATTATCAGAGGTAAGACCTCTTAATTTGAAAGCACCTTCACTCTGCATCTCCGCTTTAAGAGTTTAGTAAGTACAAGTCATTCTTAAAGAGCGATAGGATCAGAAGTCTCTGTTTTATTGATGTGTTATTTCAACCATTAAATAGAAATTATAAGCATCAATGAACGACTTTATGGTTCTGAAGGAACACAATGTGCAGAAAAGATTAAAGCCACATTTTTGCTGGCAGCTGTTCATTGAAGGGGAAAAAGTGGCATTCATGATCGGAATTTGTAGCTTGTTTATTCCTTTGACTTCTCATCCATCAAGTCCCCATAACAGGGATGAACACGATTTTACAAGTATCTCCATTTTAAATTGTACAATAAGGTAGTCGCTACATAGAATTTCAAATAAATTAATTTAAGGTAGCTATCCTATGCATGCTTTCCTGAGACATAAAGTCCCAAGAACTAGAAGTTCTTGGGACTTTATTTCTTCATATTATTCCCACTCTGGGCACATTGCATTGATTTCAAAGTTCTAATGATCACATACATAGCCCTAAACGGTTTAAGACCTCAATACTTGACAGAACGCCTCCTCCCACCTAGATCTACTTGTATCACCCGATCTAGCCAGGAGGGGCGACTGAGGAGCCTAACGCCGAGGGAGACCCAGAAAGAAAAAACAAGACCCCAGGCCTTCTCGGCAGTGGCTCCCAAGCTTTGGAACAGGCCCCCCCCCCCCGAGATTCGTCTGGCCTCCTCGCTGGGCATTTTCAAAAACCAACTCAAGACCTGGTTATATAGACAGGCCTTCCCTCCAGACTCTATGTAATTCTCTCTCTTTATTCTGTTTTGTGTTAATGTAGGAAACCGTTACTTTATATTGTTTTTAATTACACGTTTGTGAGCCACCCAGAGTAGACTATGTCTATATGGGCGGCATATAAGCTCAATAAATAAATAAATAAATAGTTGGGATTTCGCTGTCAACCAAGCAATTTACTGAAGAAAAGAGGCAATGGCTTTGGATTATATGAAGTGAAGTTTTCAGCAGCAAAGGTTTTCATCCTTTCCTCCACCAGCAGTTTCCTGCCTTCCCGAAAAGCATTTCCAATCAGCTGGGGCCCCTCCTGAACATGAAATGAGGTGCAGTGGGCTCCTGGAGGAGAGAAGGGTCACTTTGTTCTTTTATCTTAGAATCAACGTTCATGGTTGTTACCGTTCAAATAGTAACTCTTTATAGTCAAAATTCAAAACACAGCAAAACCAAAAGCAATAGTTAGCTCAGAGTACGTACAGCTAAATCTGATTAATTTAAATTGAAAATGCTTAAGCAAAGTGCAACTTTAGCAGGGCCAGGGGCAATATCTTTACACTGGAACAAACTGAACCCCATTTTTTGCTGTCACAAAAAATAATCAGTGGCAACCAAGTCTCCATTAATATCAATAGGATAAAAACTTTTTAGTTGTTTCTGACCTTATGTGCATATAACACCATCTATTTGTAGCCTTCCTGTGTCTTCCAACACTTCGGCAAGATTTACCGGTAGTTAGTCCTACACAGTCAGTGACAGGCATGTAGTGAAGTGAACAGAGTGACAAGCTAGGATTTCAGAAGGCCTGAGCTTAAATCTCTGTGTGGTCATGCAAACTAATTGGGGAGAGGTATACCTCATATACATTGAAAACCCTACTAGGGTTGCATTAAGTCAAATGGGATTTAACAGCAGGTAACACTAGATAAGTGTCTATCCCTATATACAAAAGTAGACAATGTGGCCCCATAAGTATCAATAACAAACTGCAATCATCCTCCATCACTCCCTCTGCTAAGTAGGGCCATCTGGAGTTGCAGCCCAGCATTTGGAGGGCCACACGTTTCCCATTCTTGATTATTTATGGCATCATGCGATTCAGAATATGATCTACTAACTTTCTACAGTATATGGTAATATCAAATCATGGATTGTGAAGCAATACCACTTTCCAGAAGTATATTCTACTATTTAAGAAGCAATCAGTTCTTTCAATCAGAGACCCTAAAAGTTAATGACTGGCTCCCATTGTGACCTGTAAAGATAAATGCTAAACGTACCCCACGGTTGAGAGAAAGCTATGACTGGTGTTAAAAACGAATAAGCTAAAATAATTTGATTTGAAAAAGCTGTCACTCCTCAAAGATAAATGCTAACCATCAGGCTTAAACGTACCCAATGGTTGAGAGAAAGCTATGATTGGTGTTAAAAACGAATAAGCTAAGATAATTTGATTTGAAAAAGCTGTCACTCCTATGCCCACCGAACTAGGAGAAGCTTTCTTTACAAAGAGAAGAACACAAAGAAGGTGCATCCAAAGGAGAGAGACAAGTCTGGCATGGAGCGCGGCTTGGGGGTGGAGAGAGAGCACATCTCCCCCCGCCCCGCACACGCTTCTTCCCCTGCGAGTTTGGGCTTTACCTGCCGCTTCCGCTCCCTTGAGAGGCTCCGCACACCTCCAGGAGGGAGCGCGCAGGGGCTTCGAGCCAGAGACCACACGGGGAAGCGGCGGCAAAGGAAGCCCGGCAGGCGGCTGTAGCTGCGACCCGGACTAGGCGGTGGGAGGGGTTGCCCGATAGCCGGGGGCACCAAAGTGCCGCAGACGCAAGCGCGCTAAGCTAAGTCCTTCCAGCTCACCTTGGGTTCTGCCGGCCTCTCCCCCTCCCTTCCCTCCTACCCAATGGCGTCTCCCAGAGCCCCTCTGCCCGAAGGTAAAGTCTTGCCTCCTTTGTATCGGGGGCTCGCCTGCCTGCCTGCCTGCCTGCGGTGGGCGAGCCAGGGGTTGGCCGCCTCTTCTGGTCGGCTGAATGCGGAGGCGGGAGGGCGCGTTGGGGCGGGGTTAGGCTGCGCTGGGCAGAGCAAAGGGAGGCGGGACTCTGGAGTGACCGCAGGAACCAACGCGGCGGCGGTGGGGGGGGGGGGCGTGGAAGGCACGGGTCTTCGCGCAGCCCGCTCTGGGGACACTCGTGGGCTGCGCTTCGGGACGGGAGGCGGAGGCAGCGGCACCTCGAGAGAGAGCCCTTCCGCGGTTCTTGGCGGGGTTTGTTTTTGTTTGGCAGCGACGGGCTTTTTCACTCACTCGCCTTGTTGGCACGCGCGTGAGTGATCCATGAAGGGTATTCGCCCAGAGGTTTCTGTTCGTGGATCGCAGGTGACTCGTTACCTTCTTCTTTACCTCCGAAAAGCATGATGATCGGCCGCCTCTCTCTGGCCTCATCTATTTCCTTATGCGGTGCCCTCGAATTTTTCATATCAGGAAAGTCTTAAACGCGTTTTGAGGGAGTTTGCGGCTTCCCTCCGCCCTCGTTTTTATGTATGCTGTATTGAGAGCGATTTTAAGACTAATTTCTGGAGCACCTCACTCTCAAAGAACTTGATGAATCATCCTCTCAGATACTAAATAAATTAAGCCCTGCAGCATCCTTCTGAAGTACAGTTAAATTACTGCAAAAAGTTGCCTTATCCTGTAACTTTTGTGGATTTCTCTCAGTATCCTTCAGCAAGAACGAATTTCGACCTGTCTTCTAAACATAATTTGGCTTATAAGAGTTTTTGAAATTAAGGAGGAGAATGCAGTTGTAGAGATTGCATAGATGTCCAGCAACATTTTTCTCTTTTTTCTTAGGGAGTGTCTTGTGTTAATTCTAAGATGGCCCACTACTTTTGATTTTTTTAGTTTATTAAAAACTGAAATTCATACTTTAGTAAAGCGTGAATTACTAAGGAATTACATTAATTTTTTTTATCCTGGACTCTAAAATATGTACAGCCAAATCCTATCCATATTTGTTTTGAGTTAAGTCTCACTGATTTGTATAGAACTTATTCCCAGATTGATGCTCTTGGGAGCACAATAGGATACAATGTTATCCATATTTACTCCCCCGCCCCCAAATAAAGTACAGTACATCTACTGAGAAGTCATGAGAAAGCTCCATGGAACTTACTCCCAGGTAACTGGATACAGTATTGGACTGAAAACTTAATATGTTAAATAAATAAGTAAATATCTTATCAAACACAGACACGACTCCAAGCTTTCACTCCTACCCATACTTATTTGGAAATAAATCCCAATGGAAGTAGTACTTCTGGAGTTATATCCTGATTGTGTGGATAGTGCAGAAAAAATATATACAAGAGCCCCAGACGTCATGGCAGATGTTCATGCTAGGTTGGACATATATGTGAGAGGCCCAAAAGTCATGGCAGATGTTTGTGCTAGGTTAAACAAAATATATTGGAGAATGCAGTGGAAGCAGCCCTAAGAGTGACCACACAGGGAATCACATATGTGTAGTACACTGTTATCCCACCCTTCTTTTTTCCTCCACAAGAACTGAGTGAGATAAACTGAGTAAAGAGTGACAGCTGATTAGCCTCTGTGTTTGCAAAGAAATTGATAATCTTGCATTTCCGACTGGATTTATGGTCATAATAATGGACATACCAAAACTTTTCTGTTTGTCTAGTTCTGGAATCTGTGGAGCCTTTAAACCAGAATTTTCCAGTCACGGAAAATCTAAAGCTTTATGCAGAAATATAACTGTGCTAAATGTATTCTTACAGTTTTAAACCGGAATAAAGTTCATTCATAACTGCGCAGTAATTTGTAGTATTTATTTTTCAGGTAGAATACCCTGTTTCCCCTAAAATAAGACCTAACCTGAAAATAAGCCTAGTATGATTTTTCAGGATGCTCGTAATATAAACCCTACCCCAAAATAAGCCCCAGTTAAGTGAAATCCCGCCTTCCATCATGTGCAGCAACCAGAAGAAGATGACATGACTATATTTAAATAAACATTCATTATACATGAAAAAAATAAAACATCCCCTGAAAATAAGCCCTAATATGTTTTTTGGAGCAAAAATTAATATAAGACCCTGTCTTATTTTCAGGGAAACAAGGTACTTTTTAAAGGTTAGAATGAGAAACATATTCCTGTATTACAAAAATATTGGCCTAGATAGGCCTATTTACATATAATATATAGATACACTGTATGTCTTTAGCAGATAGTTAGTGAATTTATGAATAAAATACATTAAATCCTTATTTCTTTGTTTCCAGCAGATCAGGCTGCTCAAGAGCCAGTAGAAGATACTGATCCTAGCACTTTGTCCTCAGAAGAAGTATGTAATTTATTGAATGTTTTGTACTGTCAGTAGAATTGTTAATAAATATTGATTAGCATTTATAGTTTTTAATGCTCACACAGCAGAACTGTTAAGCACTGACTGAAATGAGTCACAAGTTAGTCCGATAATTTACTGTGTGATCATCCTTCAAACAATATTACTGCTTCATTTTGAGCTTGAGATAATTGACTATGGAACTACTATCTCTATTATGGGTCATTGTGATATACAGTGGTACCTCGCAAGATGAATGCCTCGGGCAATGAATAACTCGCAAGACGAAAGTGTCTTGCGAGTTTTTTGGTGCCCTGGGAAACGAAGATATTTTCGTCTTGTGAGATGTTTTCCCATAGGAATGCATTGAAATTTAATTAATGTGTTCCCATGGGAAAATTGTTTTTTAAAAAGTCACGGCAGGTCTGGCAGAATGAATTATTTTCGTCTTACGAGGCCCCACTGTATATGGGTACTAATCTTAAGAGGTGTTCTTGTGTTGCAGGCTTGTAGTGCTGTAGAATCCATAGAATGGGCGGGCAAATTAAGGGAGCTTGAGCTCAGTTTTGATGCTCTGAGTCCCTGTTCTGAGTTACAGGTGCCTCACAATAGGCCATTACTTTTGTGAAAGTGATTTTTGCAGCATTCTACAAGCAAAAGATTTTTTTCTTCAAAAGTATATATTCATTGTAGAGTTTTAATGGAATTATAGCTATGTTACAGCCCATTTAGTGAAATATATCTGTATCAGCTAAGCACTGGATAAATCTACTTTCAAAAAGGTGGGGAGTGACCATCAAAACCAGCAACTTTGCACAGAGTTCGCTGCCTCTTGTACCGAGGTGTTTAATGCACCTTACCCAATGACCTAGTTCATTGCTTTGTACATAATATCCTCTTTACATGGAGTGAGACAGGAAGACAAAATATGGGATAAATCACTCCTTATTTAGAAAGGATTAAAAAAAAGACAAGATTGACAAAACAACAATTTTCTTTTGTTATTTATTTATTTATTTATTCGACTGGTATGCCGCCCGCACCCTGCAAGGGTTGTCTTCTCATTAAAACAAAACCAGAAATTACGAATGACTCAGAATTGTAATTTTTAGTGTCAGTCTCTTGTCATAATCATCAGCAACCCCACTAAAGAGCTTAATTTCCATTCCTGTGTTCTTCCTGTTTTGGACTGCATAAGCCGGAGTATTGACGATCCTGTTACAAGCCACAATAGGTGAACGTTGGGTTGTGTTTTATTTGAAAAGGCTACAATTTGTGCTAATGTGATTTGGAGGAATGAATTAAATACCTCACAAGGCTGAGAAGTAAATGGTTTATCAAATTGCATCTAATATAAGTGTAAAAACAGTCCCACCACCACTTTTTTTTAACAGGCAGAAAAGTATCCTGTTCAAGATACAGCATTACCAAAAGGTAGGTATGGAAAATTGTGGTATTTTTTTTAAAAAAAGAATATGCAGTACATATATAAATATCACTCAATGCTAAACTTCTGCACGAACCTTCTATCTAATCTGGTACAAACCAGTTCATTTTTTTAAAAGTGAGTTAGTTGGGAAGCAAAAAGCTAAATGTGGAGGACCACGCATGCATGAAAGTTATTCTGATTCTCCTTTTAATTTGTGGTCCTGCCAGAGTCACTCCTGTGAACTGCTAGTTATTCTGGGGCAATGTACCTGGAAGTGAAATTGTTCCATCCTGAATGTGAGAAAGTGCTGTCTGAGCCCAAACGTTCAACTTCTATTAACAAGTTTGGTGACGTATCTACTACTGCTTCAAACAATTCTAATTCTTGGTTGTAAGGCAAAGAAAGAAAAGTTTTTTCATTATGAAAAACCCAACTTGGTGTTCTTATAACTGACCCTCCTCCAGAGAAATTGGGGGATGGAGATGGTGTCGGCCTGTGCATAGGGAGTCACAATAAAGACGCTGAACCCAAAATGCATCAGCATCTCTCTCCCTCTCCCACACAGCTTACCCTACCCCTCCAGTGATTGGGGTTCCCCCCAGAGTTCACCTCCTGTGAGAGGTCCATGATTTCATTCCCCTTCCTCTTTAATTTGCCTTTCTCATTCTAAATGGTGGCATTGTCTCCTTTCTCTTTCTCCCCAGAAGGAGGGTTTCCTTAGTAGTCAGTGTCTTCGCTATCTCTCTGCCTCTTCTCTGGGAACCCTAAGATTGACCAGCTTCCTGATCCATGGTCATTTTGGTGACCCATTCCCATTCTTTAGGCAACTCAGGTTCCCTTTCTTCCCCTTTTCCTTTACAGACCTCCTCTTCAACTACTACCTCTCCTTCTTCTTGATCTCTTATTTCTCTCACTGTTTCCTCCCCTCCCTCTCCTATCTACTCCGTTCTCTCTTTTCCCCCTTTTATTTCCTCCTGAAGTGCTGACACCTCCTCCTTTGACAATTGTTTTTCTCCCATGTTTTCCAGGTTGATGGGTCTTTCAGGGGAGTCTATTTCCACCTTTTTCTCCCCATTTCTATAGTTGAACTAGAGATTATGAATCCCTCAGTTTCTGAAGGAAGAGAGGATGGCACACTGATGGGGGGACTGTCCTCTACATTCTTTTTCTCACAAAGTGATTAATTGATTAACCACTTGGAGTAAGGATATTTTTATTCACTGAAGCAGAGAGTCCCTGTTCCTTGCTTGTTTTATTTTGTAGTGGATCTTTGGATCTTTGTGAAGTCCAAGATATTTTTAAGAGACCTTGTTTCAGATATCATAGGAAGGGAAGGGCTAACAGAAGGTGATCAGAAGGTGCTAATGACCAGAAGGTGCTATGACAGTGGGGTTTATTTTTGCCTGGTGAAAGGAAAGTGAATTAGAAGTTAACATGCTATTTCTAATTCCAACCAGTCATCTAGTCTGAACAGCACTGATGATCTTACCCCCACCTCTTTTTTATAGACCTTAAGGTTTTGTTATTCAATGGGAAGGCAGATTAAATGTGATATAGTCTCATTCACACGAGAGGACTGTCTTTAGATCAAGTTATTTTCAATATATTACAAGAGGGAACCTGTAAGTAGAGGACAAGCCACTCCATTGTCATGGCCAAATCATTATGTAATCAAGTTTAGGTCCTATCATGAGGTTTGAGTTCGAATCTCTTTTGAAATGAGAAAACAGTTCTGATGGTCAGTTTGGGTAATTTAATTAATTAATTAATTAATTTGTTCGATTTATATCCCGCCCATCTGGTATATTCTACCACTAATAAGTGACCAGGTTTATACCAGCCCACAGGGTCAGCCTGTGATTCTTTCAAACACCCATTTAGATCAATTTATATCATGTTTTTCATATACAATTGCTCATAATCTCTTCAACTTGGATACCTTGGTTTCTATAGAAAAAGAGATGGAAGTAGCCAGAACACCATTTCGTCAAGTTGTTATGTGTACCTTTTAGCCTGGGCAACCAGGGATTTTGACGATTTAGTTGAAGAACCTTTATGTGGTCTTTGAACCTCTTCTTTTCCTGGCTGCTGGTGTCTGCCACAGCTGGTCCTACAGTATGAACCGTTTGGGTGATTTGTACCTATTGCACATATCTCCAACCATCCTGAGGGAGATGGTTGTGATATTGTTAATGAAGAAGTGAAATTTGAATCTGACAATCACCACAAATTTCATCCAGTATCAAATTTATTCTTGAGCAAAGTCTTAGAAGGGTAATATTCTTACAGCTCAATCTTTTATCCTACTGTCCTAGCTGTTGCCGTCTTTTTTATTTCTCCTGCTTGTGTCAAGCTCAGCATCTTAAAGTTAATTAACTCAATTGTCTAGAGGGGCGGGGTAAAAATCTAATTAATTAGATTTTTACCGCACCCCTCTAGACAATGTCTACTCGGGGCGGCTTAAGCATTAGTAACCATGATTTTTGTGTAATAATACAAAATTCTTTCTGGAAACTTCTTTGTAAACTACACTATAACAAGATTCCATTAATTTTGCTGTGCTGTTGGCCACGTTTATCCTTCTGTTTCTGCTTTGAGAAATCCTACAGGGGCTTGTGGGACATGGGAGTTTAACGCTTAAGTGTTCACAGTTCTCCATATATGATTGACATAATTTCTGCATGCAAAACCCAGCAAAGTCACTCACCAACTGATTAGGAAATAAGAAAACATTCCGGCCTGACTCTGTACCTTTTAACAGCCATATGTGTCGAAATGAGCCAATAAAACTTCCGATGGCATTGGCACAGACCTGATCACTGCCACCTTCTGCAGGTCAAAAGGGGGCCAGGAGGGAGGCAGTGAAAACTTCAAATACAGCAGGCACATGTTTGCAGCTCAGGCAACAAATGTACCTAAGTCAGAAATTCTGGGCAAGGGCCATGCCCTTTTTTTGGCTCTGGGCAAAGCTGGTGAGCAGAAGCAGTAATCCAGCTGACTAGCATAATCAGTGTAGTGATGATTCCTCATTTATAATGTGCATGCACAAGATTTTCTATTAATTACCAACATGTTGTGGGAACTGATTTGTTTCCAGATTAGTCTCTTCAGATTAGTGGAGCTGTAGACATGTCATCACTGGTTATGCTGAGTATTTATGCATGGAGTTTACACGGCTGTGTACAACTTCTCTTCCTGTCCTTACATAAAGCTTGAACTATCATTATCACCTTGCTGAATTTTAGAAAACAGAGTTTTCATCAAGGGGATGAACATGACTAACATTTCAGAATGTTTGTCTTATAGATGGGGAGTACCAAACAGAAAAAGTGACAGTGGAAATAGCATCTGTTAATATTAGGAGCCTAACGTCAGATTCGGGACTGATACAACAGGTAAGTAAAACACTGTTAAACAGTCATGTTACAACATCATTGATTCGAAAAACTTAAAGACTTAAAGTATGTTTTTGCCTTATTAGTGGTTCGTGGAGGTATTTTACTGGAAGAATTACTTCATCTAGTGCAGCGCTTGGATGGAATGTGTTAAAAGTAATATCACTCATACTTTTTAGTAATGATGGGCAGCAATGTTACTTTTCATAGTTTTTATGTCAGTTTCATTGACTTTGCAATTTTTTCACTAGTAAATAATTGTTGCTTCCTCGCCATTTGGGAGAGGAATGCAGTGCATTTTAAAAATAGTTTTAAAAATTAATGAATATGACTTGTTGGTACCATGATACTAATGAGTAGGAAAATGTGGCAGTCATTAAACAGTGAATAACAACTCGTATCAGTGAATTATTTTCTTCTAAAGTCAGCCTTACGTTTTTAAAGTGAAATTTCCATGCTCTGGTCCAATGTGTAGAAGGAGAAAGAAAATGAGCTACTTGACAGCCTTTCATAAGGCAGCAAACTTACGGTGGAATCTAGGTTATTTATGGCAATTACGGGTGCTCTGCTGCATGGCCTGTACAGAAGAAGGGGGTAGGACTGCAGCCCATACAGGGAAGCTGATTAGCAGTAATTAACAATTAGAATAGCTGGCTGGATAGCTCAGAGGTTTAGGTATCTTGCTGTAGAGGCTGGAAGTTTGATTTCCCACTGTGCCTCTGCACGTAGAGCCAGCCTGTGTGGCCTTGGGCAAGTTGCACAGTCCCAGAAGAAGGGAATGGGAAACCATTTCTGAGTATTCTCTACATGGAAAGCCCTGAAAAACAGTAGCCGTAAGTTACAGTTGACTTGCTGGCACATGATTATTAGCATTATTATTAACAATTAAAATCTACATTCCTTGAAACCAAGGTGTTTCTTCCTGAGGGAGAGAATGAAAAGGGGCTGGTGTTGTGTGTACCATTGATGCCCCATCCCTCCCAGGACCGTGCCCTGTTTTGTACAATATGCTTGCATGTCTTTGCCACTGCAAAAGCTCATTGACAGAGCATTCCACCAGCATTTATTTTTCTGCACCATGGACATATCCTGTGTTTCACCAGCTGGCAGGTGTATAGGATTGCACCCTTAGATAATAAAATCTCTTGGTCAGACATGGCATATTATTAAACTAGTATTCTATCTATAATTAATCCCCCTTTTAAAACAAATGAAGCATATTTCTCTGTACAAGTGTATAGCTTTGCAGAAGCCATGTTTTGCCTTCAGGATATACTGGTTTTTCTGATCTTCCATCACATGCAAGACAAATTTATAGTTTTGTCTGGTCTTGCAATTTATTAACAGGCAATAAAAATAGTCTTGTTAGAAGACAGTACTTTATACCTAGTTCTTTTACAGTGTAAATATACACCAGATTGTGTGCACCAAAATGGACAAAACTTCACCCTTTCATCCTATAATATAGTTGGTTTTTGTTGTTGCCATAGTTAAAAAAAAGTTTAAGGAAATTTGTGGAGGCATCAAATGAAGATTATAGCAGAGAGACAACATTTTATTTTTACCATAGTTGAGTCACCCTGGGAATCTATTTGATAGGTAGACTAGATATTTGCATAATAAATGAATATCTGAGAAACTGATGTATAACAAGTAACTGGAGGAGCAAAAACATATTTCCTTATCTGTTTTAAATTCTGAGTGGCGACCTTGCAGTCTTGGTGCTGTAAATGATGCAGGAAGTAAAGTTTGAGACATGCCCTTCTGAAGAACCTGTGACTCTGTCTGTGGCATACCCTTCTGCTTGCCACCCCAGCATTCTATTGCTTCCTGGTTTAGTCGACTAGAAGCTGAGGTACAGAGGACCACATAGATCTTGGAGTGCACACTGCAAGGCAGCATCTCATAGGTAAAGGTAAAGGTTCCCCTTGACAATTTGTCCAGTTGTGTCTAAGTCTAGGGGGCGTTGCTCATCTCCATTTCCAACCCATAGAGCTAGCATTTGTCCGAAGACAATCTAATCACACACTAATCACCGATCTCATGAATAGGACAAAAGCCTATCTCACAGCCATAAATACTCTACTCCCAAGCAAACTACACCAGAGCACAGAGTGCTGTCCTCTGAAGATGCCAGCCACAGAGACTGGTGAAATGTTAGGAAGAACAACCTTCAGACCACGGCCAAAGAGCCTGAAAAACCCACAACAACCGTTTTTATCTTTGCCTGCCTAACGGAAGGCTAAAAAGGAGGACATGTCCTCTTTTGACTGACATCTGGCAACCCTAAGTTAAATAGAGAATTGTTTTGTGTCTGGAGCCAAGAAGATTGTCTGAGACCAAGAAAAATAGGTGCCTTTGTGGTGCCAGGAAAGTGTAGCCATCATTAGCTGCCGAGTGAGAGCTACATGGTACCCCAGAAAAATACTGGAAAATGAAAACAGAGGTAAAAGTATTTTTAAAAATGGCCTGACTAACTCAACAATAGAAATCAAAGAAAGTACATACTTATGCCACCCAAAAGAACTAAAAAGCCAGTAATGGAGGAAATTCATTCTCAAGAGGTTATAGGAATGGAAATGGAGACCCTCAAATACCTGAGGAACCCTCAAGGGAAATTATTCAAAGCTCCCTAGATCTGGAGAAATGGAAATTGTAACAGGAGTATGACTCAGAGAAAAAACCATGGAATTAGAAATTAGAGGAAAAACCAGAGCTGAAGAGAAAGCTAAGGAGCTAGAGCTCAAGGAAGTGGAAATTAGAGAAAAAGCCAGAGCTGAAGAGAAAGCTAAGGGGCTAGAAGTCAAGGAGCTAGAGATTAGAGCCAAAGCTGAGCAAGAAAAACGACAAATGGAATTTCAAATAGAGCTGCAAAGATTGGAAATTGCTGCTCAAAATAATAATAGTAGTAATAATAACAACTCTAGTGTGGGAAATCTCTCAAAGATTGATCTAAAGAAATTTCCCCAATATAGGAAAGAAGATTGCCCTGAATCTTTCCTGATTTCATTTGAGATAGCATGCTGGGACTTTGAGATTAAGGATGATGAAAGGATGATAGTGTTGAGATCACAAATAAGTGGAGATTTAGCTGAGTTTTATTCTCAGATACCTCTGGAGCAAGCTAGAGATTTTAAGGCATACAGAAAAATAGTATATTCTAGATTTGACATAAATGCAGAACACCTTAGAAGAAAATTTTGTTCTCTTACAAAAAAGCCTGAAGAATCTTATGCCCAAGTGGGGGCTAAATTGATTCAATGTTTGGACAAATGGATGGAATGTGAAAATGTCACTTCTCTAGACCAAATGAAAAATGTAGTGGTTTAGGACAAATTTATTCAGTGTTGCCAGAGAATTGCAGTATTTGGTCAAGGACAAAAATCCTAAAAAATGTATTACAGGCATCTGAATTTGCTGATTCCATTAGTGAGATTAGAGATCCTCAATTTTCTGAGGTAAGAATTGGTAGAAAAGTGTGGAACAACAGGAGAGGAGGTGCCCCACACAGTGAAGATTGCATCAGAAGTACCCAAGCTACTGGAAGCCATTTTAAAGACAAGCCCTCATCCACAAAGCAGAGTCACCTGAAACATAATAGCTCTGAGGGAAAGGTTAACAAGGCCCTTTATTTCGAACCCAAGGCCAGTAAAAAATGTTATGCGTGTGGAGAGAAAGGTCACTTTTGGACTCAGTGTGAGACTCAAAACACTAGAGATGTTAGCCAGCATAAAGGTGGAAATTTCAGTCAGCCTAAGATGGTGTTTTGTGTAAAGCATAATGAAACATCTAATACTGCAGTTGAAGCTAGACGTGGAGCTGTTGCCATAGCAACACAAGTAACAGAAAGGTTAGAGAGCCAAGATCTCCCTGAGGCCAGGGTTGTTCAGTGCTTTCTAATAGAATGTAATCAGAATCTTCTGTGTAGCTCAGGAGATGTTATCTATGTTTAATAATAAGAATAAGAATAAGAATAAGAAGAATAAGAATAAGAATAAGAATAAGAAAAGTATCTAGCACTCAAAGATTCTTGTTCACAAGTTACAGTATTTCACCCTGATATAGTCCCTAAGGAAAATATGTTAGACCATGAAAATATTTCTGTTAAATGGATTTGTTTTGAACTAGTGGTGTTGCCCATGGCAAAAATACCAATGAGATGTAAGGGATGGTCAGGAGTTTGGAAAGTGGCCATATCCAATCAAATTCCTGCTCATGCTTAATGGGCCTGGATTTAGCTGAGAATGTGCAGAGTGTTTTTGTGACAACTCGCTCTCACGGAAGGCAAATTGAAGCCACTGAGGGAAATGATGGAAATCTTCCTGAAGTAAGAGAAGTGAGAGAGACAGCTGATCTGGTTCTTCTGAGAATCTATCTTTCATCAAAGAACAAAAGGAAGACCCTACCTTAAATGAATGCTTTGCACAAGTTAAGGAAATTCCACTAACCCCTTAAAATCCTGAACGATGCTCCAGTCTAGAGGAATACCCTGAGATAGTAGAAATGGCTGAGGTGGTCATATCGAAAAATTCTAATAATACTTCCTTTATTGTGGAACAGAAGGAAGATATCAACCTGATTCAGTGTTTAGAGAAAACCAAATACTGGTTGTTCTGGGTTTTTCGGGCTCTTTGGCCGAGGACAAACCTGTGCTCAACACAGGTTGCTGTCCTCTGAAGATGCCGGCCACAGAGACTGGCGAAACATCAAGAAGAACAACCTTCAGAACATGGCCAAAGAGCCCGAAAAACCCAGAACAACCATTAGATCCCGGCCGTGAAAGCCTTTGTGAATATATAAAACCAAATACTCTCCCTTCCTCTTATCTCCTGAACACCCAGAGCGGTTCATCATTGATAAACACCTGTTATATAGGGAAGTTGTATTAACACCTCATAGAGGTGGAGATGGGCATCTCAAACAGCTAATTGTTCCTGTAAAATATAGGGAGGAGTCCTTAGAAGTAACAGAGCCAAGCTTGGGGTGGGGGTACTCATGGAAAGGAGAAAGGTTTGTATGAGGCCCAGGAAAGAGCATTCTGTCCTGAGGACAAAGTGGTGAGGCTGAGACCCATAGAGGGTAGTGAATTGCTGTTGGCATGGTCAGAACCTGTAGATTTGTTGCAGCAGAACTGGAGGGATTCTAGTTGTGCTGCAGCTGCAGAAACACTTAAAACCTTGCAATGCAAACCCCTACCTAAGAAAACAAATATTAAAGATATAGAACCAGATGATGAAAATCTCAATGCATCTAAAATAAACCAAGTGTTTGAGATTATACTTAAAAGAAACATGCCTGTGAATTTGGAGGTGACCCATGATAGTGGTCCCCCACATATGGAGAACTTTGCAACAAAAGTACCTGTGGTGAGGAGGAAGGCATAAGCAATAAGATTTCAAGGAAGAATGCAGTCATAGCTGTGCTGGAGAGGTGGAAGAAACCACCCAACCTTCCCACAGCTGAGAAAATTAAGCCACTATTCAGTAAGAGAACAGGCTTTACCCGGAAGAGGCCAGCTGAGGACATCCAGTGGATGTCAGAGTGCCCGATGACTGTCAATCATCAAAAGAGAGTGTGGACTTCAAGATCTGTCATTGTTGCACCGGCCTTAGACCAAGAGTTCATCGGGTACACCGATATGTCAAGTGTGGATCTGGAAGCCGTGCTGTGCCAAGTGGATGACACAGGGAATTTACACCCAGTGACTCTGATCAGCAGGAGATTTCAACCTGGTGAGAGACATTTGTCTGCCATCAAGAGAGCATGCCTATCGATTGCATGGACGCTGCAAAAGCTGAAGCCCTACATTTGGGGAAGGAAGTTGGTGCTTTGCATCAACCATTTCCCTTTGTTGTGGCTACAGACTATGAATTCCAATGGCGCTAAGCTTGCTAGATGGATGCTAAACCTACAGGACTTTGACTTTGAGATCTGCAGCATGAAAAGGACTCAGAATATGATTGCTGACGCCTGGTCTCAAAGGCCAAATGACTAATGGGTGGATAAAAGAGTGTAATATTGTATTAAATGTTCTGTTTGTGCACTAGTTATGAGATACAATTAAAATGCAATGCTTGTTTGGATGCCAATGAATTGAGTCATGTATAGAGATGGGAAATAATAATGGTGAGTAGCGTTATTAATGTAGTAATGCGAATATTTATAATTGTATGGATTGTTTTAAATGTTTAAAGTAATAAGTTTGGTATAGTAAACATAGTAAGAGAGAGAAAACTAGTATAAAGTATGTATAAGTACATAGTAAATATAAAGTGTAATATGTTGAAATACGATGTGATTGAGGACATAACTGGTAAGCATATTATTATGATGGTGTTTTGTATGTGATGTTCCCTGTATGTTCCGTTGTTCATAAGGGTAAACTGTAAGATTTTCACTCATAGAACAAACTTTTTCTTAGAGGGAAGGAATGTGGCAATCACCCACGTCACTCATGCTATTCATATTTATGAGCTGATTTGCATGAGCCTATGAGAGTGCTGGAGGGGCAGAGTCAATGAATATATATGAGGCTTGGCTGAAGGCAGATGGGGAGATAGAGATTGGGATGAGAGGCAGATAGAAATAGATAGAGATAGGACTGGTTAGGAAAATAGGTAGAGAAGGTGGTAATGATACAGCAAGAGAAAAGAAGTATGTACTGAGAGCACTGTTGATGATTTGCTTATGTATAATGTGTATCTGAGAAACTTCTGTTATTATTCAATCTGCTTCACTTCAATAAATAAGTTCTGTTTCTGTTCACAAGTCAAGTATTCAGACAAATGTCATTTATATTGTGGATTGAGGTAATCCACTGGTGGTAGCAAGAAGAAAACACAATCTGAGCCTTTGTGAGGGAAAGACAAGCAGGGGCCAAATATGCAGAGAACTGATTGCTTCAGGCCATTTCCCAAGTTCCTTCCATTCTCAGACAATCCACAGCAAAGCAATCTGAACTCTTATCTGTTGTTCCAAACAGTTTATGGGGAACCCAGCAACAAAATATTGCAGTGTAAAGTGCTGCTGTTCACTGTTCCATGTCCTTCTCCAGGATTTTCCATAGTATTGTTTCTTTTCTCACAATAGTCAGCATTCTCTGGCAAATGAGAAAACGAGTCTCACTGGGCTGTTTTATATTGAGATTTTGATCTCAAAATGTATTAAATATAAATGTTGTATAGTGAAAGTAAAATGGCTGATTTTACATAAGTCTTGTACTGAGTGTATTCGGGTGTGGGTACCAAGATTTAAGACTTTATGTTGTACAGCTGGAGAAAATGATGTAACTTTATGTAAGTAAAAAATGTACTGTAATGTATTTTCTTATTGGTCCCAAGAATGTATATAATAAATGTATAAAGAATGTATATAATAAAGCGGACATTTTATCTGCTGTAAGTCAGATCACTTTTTTCTATGCTGTGTATTATACCATGTCATGTTATGCTGATAGATGAATGTCTGTTCTCTCTGTATGTATGTTAATAGACTAAATTGGTATTTTACTCTCTCATTGTATAGTGTCTATGCAACCTGATATCTCCTAACTCTGCTTATGTCCTGAGAATACATATTTAACCAAAATTCTCAACATTTTAGAGATACCCCTCTTTAGGAATTCATCACCACCAACAAGATGGGTGTCCATTTGTAAACACTGTGGTTGTCTCAATGTACTCTTGTACATGGGTGGAGCATTTGGTGCAATAAACACTGCATATATGTGATTCCATTTAAAATTAAAGTACAGTGGTGCCCTGCTTGACGATGACCCCGCTTGATGACAAAATCGCTTAACGATGAGGGTTTTTTGCAATCGCTATAGTGATCGTAAAACGATGGTTTCAGTTGGTTTTTTTTCGCTTCACAATGATTTGAAACCTGTTTCACAAACTGATTGTTCGCTAGACGACGATTAAAAACAGCAAAATGGCTCCCCGCTGTTTTCTGGACCTATTTTCGCTACATAGGCATCGCAAAATGGCAGCCCTATGGAGGATCTTCTCTGGACAAGCAGGTATTTGCCTCATTGGAATGCATTGACCGGTTTTCAGTGCATTCCAATGGGTTTTTTTGCTTGACGATTTCGCTGTACAACGATTTTGCTGGAACGCATTATCATTGTCAAGCGGGGCACCACTGTATGAGGGATTTGGCCTGATTCTCCACTAATTCTGTTTCGTGGGTCAGATTAGATGTTATGTGTATAGTTGCCGTGGCTATTCCACATAAATTATGTGGCTAATTTGGAATAGAGCTTCTGATGTAGTTCAGTGTAGGTGGACAACGTGTCTGGTTATAGTGTGTTTATATAACTTCCGTGGCTTACCTGTATTTGCATGGAAAACTTATGATCTGCTCCGGAGCAAATATTCTCTCCTGAATGACAGTATACATAACCTGACTATACTTTACTGAAAATATAAAAAGGGAAAACCCCTCTTGCTTTTATCTTTAAAGCTGCAATAAAAAGAAAGACAAAGGGTGCCTCACTCAAGTCCATAATCTTTTGTAACAGCACAAGCAGCAGCTGCTGATTTCTCAAATCTCTCTGCTTCCCTGCATGCAACAGTTCTTGCCTCAGGAATTGGGCGCTTTCCATTTGTGCTAGCATAACACCTCAGAAACCCTTCTCAGATCTTTTTCTCAGAAACACTTCTTGGATCATTTTAACCACTGCTCATAATGGTTCGTTCCTCCTAATCCTGTTCTTCTTGGGATCCTCTTAACCAGTTTCTTAATTTTGTAGAGTCATGTTTCATAGACTTTTCAATTAAAATTCCTTTCCTTTCTTTGAACATGACTTTAATGCAAAATTGTTTTTGTCTATAGCCAGAAGAAGATGATGACAGCCAAAGCAGTACTGGTGAATCACCTACAGGTAATATAGTCCTGACACCTGAAGGCCCCTCAGTTTAATTCTACTGGATTTTCACCATGATATTTTGAACTGTCAGTATACAAAGATAATTGTTATTATTATCTTGATTTTCAAAAGAAATAATTTCAGTCTTACCACATCTATACTTAGTATAGAACTGTTCCTTGAGCCCAATTTTTTAACGCGATGAATCGAAGGTGATAGCAACATGACTTTTAAGAGTGATCCTATGAAGAAGATACATGCAGAAAATTGACCTTGGGCTAACTTCTCCATGCAACTTGTTCAGGGGCCCCTAATCTTGTTCCCTTCCCCATTGTTCCTGGGGAAGTTACAACATTAACTGATCTTGATTACCAACATGTGCTCACAGTTAGTTAAAAACATAATTTGATTACCGTGTTTTACAGTGAGTTAGCCTTCTGGTCATAGATTAACAGTAAAGCACATGGGTGGCATTGGTAACATCTAGGATTCAGTGCTAGAACCTCCAATTAAAAAGATATTGCACAAGAAATCTAGCAACACTCCTTGCCTCTGATTTTGGGCAGCGACTGGCAGTGAGAGTACAGAATGCTGAATCAGATCAATCTAACTAAAAGACAATATGCCCATCTTTATGTACTAAATTAAACATAAATCTGTGCATTTATTTCGCAAACAATTTGTGAGGTATATTGTCATTAGCGTTACAAACATTGTTCTAGTTTAGATGTTATAAACCTGGTTGCTTAAAGTTATGGCTTTATATCCAGGACGTATCTTTACTTGGTATGAACTTTTAAGTGGTTCCAATATCTCTCTAATTATGGCTAGAAAAACCAAGGAAGTTGTGCAACAGGAGGAAGAAAAGGGGGGAGGAGGAAGAAGGTACAGGAACATAACAGTTTAATGCCTGTATGTTTTATAGATGTTTATAGATTGCCCATAATTAGAGGTGAAAGTGACATTAATTTTGGAGAGAAGTGATGGGGTGGTTGCTCAATGAAGAAAATCAAACAAGGGAAGATAATTTGTCTATTCCTGGAACTGAGAGAAGTTCTCAGATGTTTTCATTATTATGAACTTTCCTCTTTTAATTACAGGCTAGTCTGTTTTTGCCTTCATAAATTATAGTTTCTTGGAACAGACTTGTGATATCTGAAAACAACTTGGAGAAATTCATTTTGTGCACTATAATTCCTATAGTCCTCCTGCTAGCATGACCAGTCGCTATGCTGGTTGCCAGTTTTGCAATTTTCAGTACACATCCAAGCTTTTTTTTAGACGAGCCTAGTATTTGAACCAGATAATTGAGTTTTATGTGACGAAACATAATTGCCAAATCTAATTGTAATTCTAGCCCTGAAGAAAACCTGTGCAGAAAATGGCACCTGCTCTTTATGTATGTCTCACCAACCGACCATCAGTGACTTGCTCAATGATGAGGACTTGCTATATATGATGAGGATAAAGTTGGATCCATCTCACCCTACAGTGAAAAACTGGAGAAACTTTGCAAGCAAATGGGGGATGACTTATGATGAATTGTGTTTTCTGGAACAGAAGCAACAGAGTCCCACCCTGGAGTTTTTGCTACGGAATAGTGACAGAACTGTGGAGCAGCTGATTGATCTCTGTAAACTCTATCAAAGAGTTGATATTGAGAAGCTCCTGCTGAAATGGGTGGAGAAAGAATGGCCAAAGAGAGGGCATGGAACCTATCAGAATAATTTCTAAACAAGAGAAAATGTCAGTAGTGGAAAACCAAGAGTGGCAGATTTTTGTTTACTCTGCCACTGGTGTATATGGCGCTTTTCTTTGCAAATGAAAGGGACCAGGAATTCGTTTTTTTACGGTATAAATATCTTTGTAGTCAGAAATGTTATCCTTAAAAATGAGTCAGTTCAACTTGTTGGTATGTGTCACACACTCATTTTTCTAGCAAGCAAGAAGGAAAGCCACAGAATATTATTTTGTCTGACTGAAGTTATTCTGTTTAATACACTTTCAGCTTTCTTATTCCTTTATTATTTCCACTGAGAGGAATAAAAATGGAAGGTGGTGTTGGGAGTTCAAACACCTCTGTAGATGTCCTTGTCTGTAGAGTCCTTGTCATTAGGGCCTGGTCCACTCCTTCCACGTTGCCTCTGCTCAGTATAGGTTGAAGAAGGCAGCTGGGATTTCCCCATATGATTGCACTGAAACTGCTCATTCCTTTTGGGAGATATTTTTGTATCCTCAGATTTATGTGAACAGTGCAGGTGTAAGGCATGTACTTCCAAATAACCCTGTATAAGAATACTCAGAGGAGGCAGAATGGTTTGCCTCTTTGGAGATTCTTTGGTAGCTTCCAGAGTCACCCAGTTCCCATCGCCCCCATTTTGCTGTTCCATGATGCAGTCTGAGCCCCCAGGGGATGGGCTTAGCAAATGAGCAGTAATAACAGTGGTGAGAAAAGGCTATGTAAGGAGGAAGGCCTTCTGAGGGCATGTTGCTGGAAGACTCCCAAAACTTGGAATCGATATTAAAAGTACTATGCACCCTTTGCCTTGGCTCATATCAGCAGAATTTGAGTTTCAAAACTGCAGTTGAAGGCCCCAGTGACAGCCATTTCTCAGCCTTGCTCTGTTGTTGCCTTAAAAAACTACGAACAACAAATATGTTCCATTAACTACTGTTTGCCTCCCCCCCCCGGTGTATTAGGTGTCATTCAAATCTTTCAGGTTCTGACTTGCTTTACAGAAATAAACCCCTATCTCTTTCTGTTTGGAACAGTCTGTGTTTGGAACCATATGATAAATTAACCAAGGGGAAATAATTCTGAACCACCTCATCAGCAACTAAATTTCTGTTGCATGAAGCACCCACCACCTTCAAGGTATGCAATCTTATGTTCTGAGCAAAAGGCCAAGTACTTGGCTCACAAAGAATTTATCAAGGCCCAGTTCTTTATTATTTCAGAGCATTCAAGTATGCCAGTATGTCTATAGTTTCATATCTTTTCACTGCTTTGTATTAGAGTAGTTAGATCACAAATGCAGGTAATATATTAAAACATGTTAGGAGTGATTATGTTAATTGGAACTGCTCATTCCCTATGGCAATTAGAAGATATGTTGTAACATGTTCTCAGAGACAGTTTGAGAACTGGAGTTTGAGCAGGCTGTTACAAAGCCCTTTACAATGTTATTAGAACAATTATAAGAGAACTATTAGTAAACCTCAGCGATACTACACAACTGTTTTCTCAGAAATTAATTTTCAGATTAATTAGAGTCACTTGGCACAGTGAGTATATGTTGGTGAGTGCCATGATAACAATAGTGGGCCAGTGCCAATTCGGAGTTTAAAATCATAGACTGATTATATTACAGATCAGTACAAATTTGAATGGAAGCACAGGAAGATGGAGAATAACAAGGGGACCATTCTTGTTAAAGGAGAGGTCATGAAAAGTGAACGGGTTCATAACCTGTATTTTGAAGAACGAAAGAATGAGAACATTTTTTTTCAAACACCTTGAGGCTAAATGTAAGAACACTTAGAAGTTAACACTTAAGAACATTAAATTCACAGGGCCTCGTTTTGAAACAAGAGTGCTTATATATGAAACAAAAAAATCCCCATTTTGCTAAGGGTAGTTCTTGAAAAAGTCCACTGAAAAACAGAGGAAAGGTGACCCTTAAGAAAAAATGATTGGGGGAGTGAGCTTCTGGGTTGTTCGACTAGCTCAATGGTTCTTAACTTTAGGTTACTCAGGTGTTTTGGACTGCAACTCCCAGAAGCCTTCACCACCAGCTGTGCTGGCTGGGGTTTCTGGGAGTTGCAGTTCAAAAACACCTGAGTAACCCAAGTTTAAGAACCACTGGATTAGCTCAAACAGATCTTTCACTGTAACATAAGTTTTCCCGAACTGTAGCACTTTGCACTTAAACCTTGAATCGTAACTAAAACCTAAGCCACAGAGTGTTTTTTTCTATTACACTGCTTGTTTGCATATTAATAAGGTCTGGATTTTTTTAAAAAAACCTTTTTACTATCACTTTGATATATTGCGTTACATTGTGTATCCATGTTTGCAACCAATTGTCTGTGCATGTCACCAATATGTGGTATATATTTGATATCTGTTTTAATACAAAGATAGTAGAAGAAACAATCCTATTTATTCATTAGATTTGTACAAGAACATTGCTGTCTCTTTTCTACATTTGTGTTACAATTAATAAACACATACATTTTTATCATTAAAAGAGTCTAGGGCCTGAAAGGTGCAGGCCATAGAATGCAGTCTATATTTAGGCTGCAGCATGATGTATGTAAGTAAAGACTATAATTTAAAGCACCCTGTGTGTGCAAGTCTCCCACTGGTGGCTATAAGAAAGAAGAATCTTTTCCCTCCTGTAATTTTTAACAAAACTACTCTTCATATACATATCAACTCTGATGGATTGCCACGGGCACTACAAGTACTGTATTGGCCAGAATCCTATTATGCTATTAGCTTGCAGAAGGCAAGCAGTGAACCTCACAGTGGCTTCTTGGTGGCAATTGACAAGACCTATCTCAGATTTTTGGGTGCAAACCAACCTACTGGACTGGCAAGTGCTGGAAAATGCAAGTGGGGATTTGTTAATCAGCAGCCAAGTCACTACAAGTCATTTTCTTTTAGCAAGTGTAACTACACAATAGCATGTTGATCTTTAGTGATTTTTTCCTCAGTAAGAAACTATGTTGTAGTATGTTGACACAATGGTGTAGCATGTTTTCCTGTTTGACACCAGGGAAAACAGCCCACACATATTGTGAAATGTATAATTTTCACCTATTGTAACCATTGATTTGGACTTTTTAAAGACTTGATTGCTCACTTGGTAACCTTCAAGAGAGCATGAAGAATGAGTTTATTTTATTATAGTGCCATAGAGCAGTTTGATACGAGAGGCTAGTCCCTTCTTTTACTATACAAAGTATTAAAAACAATAGACTTTTTGTGTTTGGATTATCCACAGTCTTCTGTTTTGAGGTTCTAATGAGGAATAACATGGCTTGTCATCTGTGCAGCAAAGTTGGACAACCATCCATCAGATCTGTTTTGATTTTTTTCCTGCATTGAGCAGATGGTTGGGCTTGATGGCCTAAAAGCTTCCAGCTCAATTATTCTATATACTACATATCCTATATACTTTCAAAAAGATGGGTAAGAAAAATACCCACAATTATTTGCACTGTCAACATTTATCATAGACGTCTTCTTTTAGAGTACTATCTTATTTCCTAAATGTGTGCTCTCAATGAATGAAGAATTATTTTAGGGACACTATTCTTTAAAAAGAGATTATTTCTTTATTTCTTCATTGTAAGAAATAAAAATATAGTAGGTCCACATGGGCTGGGAAGACTGTGGCCACCAGCATATCACTTCTGGTTTGGAATCCAATCCCCTCAGGTCTCAAATAAGTTGGGGGCAATGAGGTGAAATTGTTCAAACTCCTTTAGGAGTGAGTTCCGTTGTATTAATTGTCCGTTCTGAGAAAAAATAAAGGAGGGGCTGAGAAAAGGCAGGGAATGTGGAGATTGGAGGAGGCAGGAGGGCCTGCAAGGGCAAGCAAATGGAAAGGTGAGAAACTGATCACTCTTTCCATCTGTGATCAGGAAGCAGGACAGATTGCTGCTTTCGGTTATTACAACTTTTGGTTTGTAGGGGAGGCCCTAAATAAGGCCCGGACAAAACTGGATGGGCACAGCTGGCTATTTTGAGGGGTGATGATGGTACAGGGGGTGTTAGATACCATCCACGGGTGGGAGTAGTCCTTCAAGGTTCACTAAAAGACAAGTGTGCCCCTGGAGTTCTGGATGCTACCTAGGAAGTGTAACAGTCTGAAAAGATAAAACTGTGGTATCAATTCCTAACATATTTGTTTCATGCCACTTAATTTGAGCTAAACTTACAGTGAAAAAACAGTTTGGGTCTACTTTGATCTCCTAACAAGCAATTCTAATTCTAATTAGTATCTTTATACTCCTCTTGGATCTCGATACACTAGGGCATCACCTCATTATCTATATCTGACATGCCACACTGCATGGGTAGCTGTCAGTGTGCCTTCTATTTTGTTTATCTGCCTGATGTTATAAATCTAAAATGTAGTAAACATGTATTTCTGTAGATTACTGCATTTCTTCCAAGTTAGAACTGGTATGAACAGGGTTACAGAATACAATTTTCAGAGGGAGTAACCACGTTAGTCTGTCGCAGCAAGAGCAACAAAGGCTCTTGCAATACCTTGAAGACTATCTAATAAACTTGTTGCTTGATTTGCTTTTTGGTACTTGCTTAATTTACTTCTTGCTAGCTAGCAAGAAAGTGGGGTCAGGTCAGCTATCCGAGGCAATATAATTGTCAAACTCAGACAATGGAAACATTGGCAAAATAATCTTATAATTGCATTATTTCACAGCCCCAGCTGGCTACTGCACTGTCAAAATGGCCACCATATCAAATGGGTGCTCGTTACAAAAGGAGAGGGAGGAAACACCCACCCAATTGCAACATACAAAACGGTCAGGAAAATGACAGACCTCTCATAGCTCTCTGACTTTTTTAAGGGGCTGTACTGCCATTGCCATCTGCAGATTCCAGGACATGTGTATGCATAGTACTAGTGCGATAGCATAATTAGGGTACCTAGAATTGGTTTGTCATATACATTAAAATAATTAAAAATACATCATTTTGTGAAGGGAGTGCTTTTCTCAGACAACCATGGTGTTATCTGGAGCTTTTCTCCTGAGTCAGATCATCAGATGCCACACAGTTGCTTTCCTCCACCTCCTCTCTAAATGATGCACTGACTTGAAGCTGCTAGACTATCTCCACTTTTAAACAATTGTGTAGATACTCTGTGTGATCAGTTTGTCCCATAAAGCCTTGCTCTGAACGGCTTTGTAGTGATACAGAGTCCTTCCTCAGAGCAAGGCCCTGTGAGGCCTAGATGAGATGAGAGTGGTATGAGAACTACCTGTGTCAAATGAAAAATAGAACAAAACTTTTCTTCTTGCTGGTGCAGCAGAACAGTACAAACACTCCTAAGCAAGGGCCTCTAGGAAGCACTCTACTGCCTGCAGGATGACCCTAGACCACCCTTTTTTCCCTTGGATAAAGGGTGGTCAGGACTGTGGGAGTCCAGTGGCTATGGAAGGGGGCAGCAGAGCAAGAAGTGGCCCATGAGTAATGGATGGTACTGGTGGATGTGAGGGAGGGGGGTATAAACTGTTGTTTGAGTCAAGAGGCTCCATGAAACTTTTTAATAAATTAGTAGGGCTTCCAAACAAATCCTGTCATCCCTCAGCCAATCAGTTTTGACTGAGTGCAGGACTGTACCTTTAGCTGACCAGAGAATAGATGTATGTTTATATACCTGTTACAACTGTTGTTGTTAGGTGCCATGAAGTCACCTCCAATTTACAGTGACCATATGAATGAATGATCTCCAAAATGTCTTGGTCCCAATAGTCCTGCTCAGCTCATGTAAATGTTGGAATTTTTCTAACCTCGCAAGCTGCCTGTAGTTTGTTTGGCTGGGAGGGATCTTTCTGGCCTAAAGTGGCTGTCAGTCTACCAGGCACTAGCCAATCATTTCTTCCCTGCCTCTGAATTCAAAGACAGCCCTGCTTCCCTGCTCTGTCTCTTTTCCTCTCTAGAGTTTGTTGAAGTCTGTTGTTGAAAGCAGTCATGTTTGTCAGTTTTCTGTTTGATTCAATTGTAAGTAATGAAACCTTTTATTCTTTCTCCTACTCAGGTCACAAAGTGAATTACTGAGACTATAAGTACGAGTTAATGAAAAAAGAGGTGGACTAATCTGGGGAACTTCATACTGTTCTGTGAATCTCTGTACTTCTGCTGTGCAGCTAAACCAGAAATTCAAAACTCTGCAAAAGTAAACTCAAAGCTGTCCTTCCTTTATGGAGTCAATTCATCTCATATTCGGTCTTCTTTTTCTGCTGCATTCATTACAAATGCAGGGATACAGTTACAGTATTTAGTTTCAGTTCTTCAGGGGAGGCCGTTCTCTCTGTCACTCCACTACCAGAGACATATTTGTGGAGAGAGAAGGAACTTTATTGTCGGCCTCTCCCAAGCTCTGGAACGCCCTGTTGAGAAAGGGCAGGCTAGCTTACTTTCTGTTGCCTTTCTACCAGTGAAAAAAATGTTTTTACTCAGACAGGCCTTGGGCTTGTAAAGTGGGTGGCCCAATAGTATACTGCAACTGAGGGACAGTCAAAGTGGTTGGTTGCTGCCGTTTCTGTCAAGCAGTGTGTTTAATGGCATTTTCATTTTGTTTTTTAAGGCTTAAAATTTGCATTTTTTTAGTGGAAGAAAGGTGGGACATCAGTTTAATAAATAAACTAAAATGAAAGAAATTCTTCCACAAACACCTTTCCTGAAGGACTGCCAAGTCAGAAGCGTCCCATTCCCTGAGATTTCAGGGCCAAAATCTGAGACTAGGGGCAGAACCTGGGGACAGCCATTTAAATAATTAGATAAATAATTGCTTTCTTCATCACATATTTGGTCACACAAGTGTGTTCTTGGCTGACAAAATGCAATGTAAATGGCACAAACACAGAAGTTGTAGAATAGTTTGTAGTTTCCAGCTATTTAGGATGTATCTATGAAATCAGAATGGCTAACAGGAATTAAAAATGTGAAGAGTCAAATACTACAAAGCTGTAAACTTTGTGGTAAATGAGTCACTTGTTTATGTGTATGTGTTTGTGTTGTAAACTATATTAGCTATGCCTGCTTTAGATACTAATCTGTACATTTTAACTAAATTGATCCCTATGGCAAGAGACCTTGTCTTTAGCAGAGCTGAAATCTGATGTTAAACATGCTAATTTGGGATTAAAGCCCTTTGAATTTAGTGAGAGTGGTCAGAAGACCAGATGGGCGGGGAATAAATAAATGTACTGTATATCAAAGTAACCCTGTAAAAGGGCTGCGAATCTCAAAATAAAGGCAACTCATTCCATCTGCTGGTGAATTGTAGCACTGCAAAAAAGTTAATCCATGGTGTTTAAAAATGTAGAGCCAGAGTGATTTCATACTTGAGACGCTTATGGAAGCAGCCAAGGGGTGACTGCCTGAGTAGTTCCTAGGAGTGGTAAATGCCTCCTTGCAGGCTCCACTCTCCAGGTTCACAGCTTGGGCGTGTTCCTGGAGTCAAAACTGCGCCTGAATGCACAGTCAGCAGCTCATGTAAGGAAATTGGAGCGCCACAGAGATTAATTAGCATGGCTCCTGCAGAAGGACGGCACGAAGAGTCATGAAGCGTTCCTCTTTTTTTTTTTTTTTTGAATATTTTTCTTTGGTAGTTCTATTTAATTTTACACAGTAGAGTTTGAAAAGTAAAAAGAGAAAAAAATGGGTAGTAACCAGAAGGAGGCACGATTAGCTACAAACTCGGGGGCTCCGGGGTATGAAGACGGACCCCCTCCGCCCCTTTCCTCCTCCCCCCCAGGGGACTGCAAGGCGAGAGAAGCTGTTGGCAAACAAAGAGAGCAGCCAGTCAAAAAAAGACTAATGAGACACTGTTGCTTTAAGGGCAGGAGGAGCCTGTCTGTAGGGAATGATGTCATTATGCCGAGGCTATGAACTAGGAAAGAGAAGGAATCCCGAGGAACCATTTTAAACGCTCGCAAGTCAAAAGTACCTCCTCTGGCCCAGCCGAGGCAGAGGCGGCACCTAGAGGGTCTGTCGGCCGAAAAGGTAAGCGGAGCGCGCGCGACGCCCCTCCTCGCATTCATGTAATCATGCTTTTTTTTGATCCCGTCCCACTTCGTGAGAATCCACTCCTCCGGGCGATCATATACAAAACGAGACAATTGACACCCAGACCCGAAAGCGACCCCACAATCTCAAACCCCCCCCCAAGAGAGGAAACCTGCCTTAAGGCACGTAGAGCTGAAAACATTTTAAAAAAATGTATAAGAAAACCTCACCGTCTCTCTGTGGAAGGGAACCAGGAAGACTCCGTATAACGCGACCCTCAATCTAATACGGAGAATACATTCAGCTGGGAGTGGGAACAGTTCACACGTCGGTCTCAGTGCAGTGGACTCGCGGAAGGGCTGCCCGGAGGAAGTGGGGCGGACAAGCAGGCCGTTCTCCCCAGCCCGTAATCAGAGGACTCCCAGCTTTCAGTGGTTCAGATTTCAGAAATGCCTGTAGACCCCGAGACAAGAGGCAAAAGGAGCGTTGAATTTGTTCGACACACTCAGTATCCGAGAAAATGTATAATTTTAAAACCGCTTGGGCAGTGGGGTGGGTTAGTTCTGTAAACAGCCCTTCTAATAATACTGTGCATGAAAGAGCAGCTCCTTTAATTGTGCCATTGCACTGCCTGGTTCACAGAATTGTCGGCGAGCTTCATACGGAAGTTGTTTTGTACCCATCGGATGCCTTCTACAAATTCTTGCCTCTTGTCCGTGAAGAGAAAAAATAAAACAGTTCAAAGAAAAGATGGAATTGCTGCACAATGTCATTAGGTTGTTGGCATTGGGAGCTTGTTTGTTTGGAATCTTCTAATGTGAACAAAACTAGTGTTGTAAATTAACTTCTTGCTGTATGGAGAGGGGCAGGGAGAGTTAGGCGAACTGAATGACAGCCTTAAAGTACAGTATGTCAATCCTCCAGAGGTATTGGGAACTTTTATAGGGAAATGACTGTGCCCTGGACTGTATAGCAGTACAGCTTATTCAGGGGTAGTGGGGTGTCGATGTAAGTGTATATATCTTCAAGAGCACCTGTAGGATTTGTTTCCTTTTCCCTCTTGAAGCTCAGAGAGTTATCCTTTTCTTTCTTAGTGTGAATCTTGGCACTGCCGTAGATCCTGGTGTGAACATACCTGAACCTGTTGTATATTGTCTCACCAGCAGAACTTAGAGGTAGGTGAGTTTATGTCTCATACTAACCATAGCCTGGGGCCCATTATAGCACCGAAAAGAACCCAGGAAAGAGCTGAAATGTTTTAGTTGTGGGTGGAAAGGCAATGTCTGGACACCACAGCTAGCCACTGGAAACCATGTACGCATGCACAAAGCAGAAGGTTAAATCTCATGTACCAGTATTTCACAGGTCTGGTATAAAATCTTAGTAGAGATTTTATACTAGTCATCAGATTTTCCAGATATGGTAGACCTCTTCTTAAAGTTTTCCAATAATGTATGTTGGGAAGTCCGAAATACTGTATATGGTATGCAGATTATTATAGCTTGTGTTAAAATAGTTGATAATGAACAAAGTGAGGAGCTTGGGCTCATTTGGAACTGCAAAGGCCAGTCAAACATATCTTTCCCCAATTAGTAGTTTTATGGGTGCTCATCATTGTTTCCAAGATACAGGACAACAGTGTACAATAGGGGCATACGTGATAAGAGTGGTGATGCCAGATGTTAGCTAGTATGACTCTCCTAAACCTGCAGAACTTGGGTTTTTTTTTAAATCTCTTTTTTAGTGTATTCATTTTTATTTTCTCTCTCTTGAGTTTTATTGGAATTTATAATTCAACCTTCTTGTATGAAGCTTGAATATAATTCCTCTGTTGTGAGCAACAGACAAACCTAAAGAGAAAATGAAACCAAATGTGCCTTAGTGGTATGTGCTGTGCACGCAAATTATAGTCACACAGCAATTTTCAGCTTCTCCTATCCTCAAAATTCCTGCAGAGGACTGTGAGAGGCTGTAATAATTTTGTTAATTTATTTATTTAGAACATTTCTGTTCCACCCTCTATTTTGCAATCTTTGGGCAGAGTATAGGAATAGAAACAATATTAAAGCAATTCAGTTTTTTAGAAAGTAAAACATATAAACTGTATGCTGTCATTAAAACCCCAAGAACAATAATAAAGCCTCCACAGCCTATTGCTTTTATCCCCAGAGCCTTTGGTGGAAAACCATGTTTTAACTTGGCACCAAAGTGTTGGTGTCAGTCAGACTCATATGGGGAAAGTATTTATCAACTGGGCTTACAGCTGAGAAAGGGGAAGTGTTGAAGTATATGGGAAGTGAGCAGAATGGTTTTTCTAACAAACAAATCTCTTTCTTCTTATATGCTGTTGTGCTCCCCCCCTCTTAGATTTCTCAATGGAACTTTTACCATATAAACAGAATCAGCAATGCAAAGGCAGCATGTGGAAAAGCTCTTTCTTTAAAAGCATAAGGTTCTTGTTTCAAAGAGTTCTTGCTAGTTTGTAGAACTGAAAGGAAAGCAAGTTTTAAGCGGTGAAATTGTTGCAAGGGTAAGCAGCCTGGCAAGGTTACTTAACCTGACTATATAATGCGCTATAAACTCAGACCTGGAAAGAGTGATATATATATTTAGCAGTAATCCCAGAATCCCACAGCAAACACAACCAGGGACTATGAGATTCTGGGAATCTTCATACCAGATATAACTTTTCCAAGCTCTGGACCACCTTGTCTCTATTGGTATCTCTTTTGCACTATTTTTTCTTTCTGTGTTTTATCCTTCCTTGGCAGCTATTCAGAATCATGTTCATTTTTGAATGTATGCCACATTGATTTCAAGGGTATAAAGTTAAGGTGGGAAGGTTTCTAGCCATAGCCTTGGCCATAGTGGGACTTTCAGCTGAAGAAAAAAAACCCTGGTTACAGTTCATTTAGGGTATTTTGAGAAGTGCCTACTTGCATACTGCCTGTCTGTGTACTGGGAGCATCACTTGAGACCCTGCATTGGGTGCTTGCATCTTTGAAGAGGGCAAGGGCTTTTCCCACCATGGCACCCTAATGATTGAGCACCGTACCCAAACCTTTTTACCAAACACCCATTTAAACGTTGTGTTCAGTCACAGCTTGGCACCGGTGCCGTTTGCAGTCTTCTTCTCAAGGCACATACCTCATCATTTGGAGGCTAAAGACTTCTGAATACAAGAGGACAGAAAATGATATCCTTGGACAATTTTCAGAAGACAGTCCAGAGACCGGTAATTATCTCCTTTTCTTATTGATATCAATAGCTTTTGGTTTTTCATCTTAGAAAGGCTGTGGGCATGTGAGGTTTAGAGAGGAAGAACTCAAAGTGGGTGATGAGGAAGACCAGTAGAAATGCAACCTAAAGTAGCCTTTGGGATTGTGGGCTGAGAAAGGGGAGGGGGGTGGGAAGGACTCTTGGTGGGAGATGATGACAGTACAATCCTATACATATTTAAGCAGCAGGAGCTGCTACGGCAGCCTTCCACAGCTATAACAAACCACGTGTGTGTGTGTGTCTTTCCTGTCTCTCCTCTGGGGAAAAAGGACACAGGTGTGCTAACGAGTCCTAGTCAGATTTCTGCATTTCTTAAAATTAAATTTGCTCTGAGCTCCAAATCCATGTCGTACAACTTGAGTGGGCAACTTTGACAGTACCAGAATCCAGTATTGTGCCCCGGGATTCTCCAGGGAAGAGGCTTTTGGATGAAAAAAAAAAAGGCAACAAAACCCAGAAGTGGCTGGGCTTATTTCCAGTTTTCAGGAAGAGGGCTTTTGGGGTGTGAAATACTGTTGTTAGTTGAAAAGGCCCTGCTCCCCATTTGAAAGGTCGGTCTCTGCTCATAGAAACTTCCAGGAGCAGTTCATCCTTTTCCCTACTCTTCTGGGGAAGAGCTTTTTTCAGGCAGGTGGTGCAGCATGTCTGCTGGGGCCGGTAGGTTACAATTTCTCATGGCCCAGCTGTTGTACAAGGGTAGTACAACCATCATTAAGCAATTCCTGTATCAGCAACATGTTCCATGTAAGCCCATCTCACGCAAATCAGTAGCTGTGTGTTGAAAATCAAGCACTTTAAAATCAAGTGCTTGTCAGAGCCTCTCTATAGTCTTGTTACCACTGACATCTGCCAGTTCTTGCTCTGGAATCACAACCTTTTATATTCAGCGGTTTGCGGCAGCATCATGAAGCAGGATTTCTTTCTCAGGGCATCAGCTCTAAATGATGGCTGGTCAAGAGTCCATTATAGGATTGATAATTTGAGTCTTGTGCAGCCAGACATACAGATTCTGGCAAAAGAAATGCAGTGGAAAATGCCTGAGACAGCAAGGCACAGCTTTGGTATTCTCTTATGTGTTGAAGGTGTGGTATCAACAGTTAATGTAATTTAAAGGTTGTAGGTTCAAATTAGGGAGGAGACCTGGAATAAAACCTTCATTCAGTTTACTGTGCGACATTGACCCAGTCATGCTCTGTCAAGCTCTCTTGTTTTGTAAAGGTGTAAGAAGTACAAAGGGTATGATAAAATGTGTAAATAGTACAACCAAATTGATTGGAATCCATATGCAGAAGTCAAGATTTTCCTCACCAGACCAGTGTACTGATCATCACAGTATAAAACAGTTCTGTGATAGCACAAGGTGGTGTTGAAGTTCCATGATGTAATAATATTTTCCTCACATCAGCTTGTAAAGATTTCCATCAGGGAGGGGAACCTTCAGCCTGAGGGCCTCATGTGGCCCACAAAGGGTTGAGATCTGTCCTGTGGGGATCTGCAGAACCCAATCCATTGCTGCAGAGCCTCCAATATATCTAGGCAGGCTTCCTGTTCTGCTCTTAGTGCAGTGCCATGATCCTTTTAGCTGGCATGTCCCAGACATGGCATCTAGATGAGCTTTACGCCATTAGTTCTGTCCTAGCAGGGAGAAGTTGTGTTCCCACACAGATACGTTGACCCTTTAGTTGGTAAGCTGTGGACATTAGAGGATGTTAGTCACATTCCCCAACATTGTCTGACCTGGACAAAATCCAGCTCTCCCTCCCCCCATTTCCGTTTCCTGCTTCTTCCTTAGTCTGTGTACACTGCCTTTATATTTCCCATGCATTCTTTACTAAGAGTTTCTTAGCATGAAGTAAATTCAAGTGGTACTTTCTGCTGTTGGTGGGAGAGGCATTGAGTCCCTTTCAGTGCCTGGCAGTTAATGAAATAAATGAAAAGTGACGACTACAAATAAACTACGAACAAAATCTGTTTTTCCTTCAAGCCCGAGACATCATTACTCATACTTTCCCTCTTTGTTACAGATGGTTCCTTATGTTGAGACTCTGACTGGTGGTCTTGTACCTGGAGAACTTGTCGTAATGCGTGGCTTAGTTCCAGAAGACTCAGAGAGGTAAGGGTTGAAATTACGTGTTCGTAAAGAGCAGTTTTGTAGATAGTATTATGTGCAAGTTTGTTAAGAAAGAACAGAAGTACATACTTCTGTAGTAATATATTTCTTTTGTGAGGTAATAATGTGCATTATCATTTGCTCGAAGACTTCCTCCTCCACTGACTATCAATTTTGATCAAAAGACAGGCTCTCTCATGTAGGTACTAGGAAATTAGTTCTCAGACTTAATTTCAAAAATATATGCAACTTGGAGGAAATCATTGGCAAAAATCCCCCCATTGAGAAATAACAGAGGAGTTGACTCACCATCCCCACTGATTCAGTGTGCCTACTCTAGGGGAAATCATTGGCAAAAATCTGTTTGTCAGCCACAGCTATACTCACCCCATTGAGAAATAACAGAGGAGTTGAGTCACTGATTCAGTGTGCCTACTCTAGTTGTGACTTACTACTGAAATCCACTTCAGCCATTGCATTGTTTCCAGTGCTGTAAATTCTGCTTGTGCAAAAGTGGAATCCAGCAGAAGTGTGTGAGGATACGATTCCTCTTCCCGCTGCAGTCCTTTTAAGTATCCCAAAAACCTGTTCCAGAGAGCCACCAAGCCCTCTGGAGTTAGTTTTTGTGAAGCTCTCACAGGGCTTGGGTGGTGATGGTTCAGAAGTCGAATACTGAAACCCGTGTTATGCTATGGTTTTATGCCAGTATTAGGCCATGGTTTTATTTTGCAGGACATAATTTCATATTGATTTTTAAAAAAAAATTGAAGTAGAGTGTGCAGGTAATGATAAAATGAATCAAGATGCAAACTGCCAGATTTATACAATTTAAGGTGTTTATAAAATAGTTGCCAGAACTAACTGGCTAGAACTTTGAATTTGTCTTTATCAAATTGCCGTAGGCTTGAGCACATGAGCTCTTCTTGTCAAAATGAGGGCTCACTAAGCATCTTCCATGGCTATTATACAGGCAGTGATGGAGCCTTCAGTTTCATCCGACAGGCAGTGGTCATCATCTGTGTCAGGAGCTGAACACAGTGGAGATGAGGCTAGAGATGTAAAATTTCTGAAAATGTCCATTTTTTCTGAAAAAAAAAAACAGATAAATGGAAATGTTCAGAAATCTTACATCTCTAGTTGAGGCTCATGATCCTGTTGCAATGAGTGAAAATTTTAATCTTCAATTGGGGGGCCCACTTAACAAGCAATAGTCCAGTTATCTGTGATATGTGAGCATATTATGTGGTCCAGGAGCCAGAAAAGAGGTTGGAGGCCCCTGCTAGTCATGGTCAGGGTTTGATGTGCTTATAACAGATGTAGAAGATAGAATAAGCTTTCCCTTTCTTGCAGGTGTTCATTGAACTGTTTTCCTTTCCTTTTTGAGAGGGTTGCTTTATATTACCTCTGGATGGGCGGCACTGATCAATGTGTCCAACTTATTCCTAGGTTCCAGGTAGATTTCCAGTCTGGCAGTAGCACCAAACCTCGTGCTGACGTGGCCTTTCATTTCAACCCTCGTTTCAAAAGGTCTGGTTGCATTGTTTGCAATACTCTGCAAAATGAAAAATGGGGCTATGAAGAGATCACTTACGAGATGCCGTTTGAAAAAGGAAAGCCATTTGAAGTTGTTTTTATGGTTCTACATGATAAATTCCAGGTGAGATGGTCAGTATTGATGGCTCGTTTAACCTGATGAGTCAACAAGCTTGGTGGATGCAATTGGGGCAAAATTATTTATTTTCTTAATGATATTTTATCACATTGTTCCACAGAAGAAATAGCGCTCAGGATAGCTAGCAACGTCCCTAAAAAGAAAGTGAAAGATAAAGCTATTAAAAGAATAAGAATGAGGGGGGGGGAGAAGACTTTTAAAAGCTGATGTGAAAAGATAAATCTTCCTGCCCTTCCTGCTGATAACTTTAAGAGGAACGCATTCCATAATGTAGGAGTAGCAGAAGAGAAAACCCTCTGACCTCTCATGAAGATTTTAACATCAGGGCACATTCATAACAAACTTAAATAGTCCCTGAGCCAGGCTTCATGCCAATTAAGTGTTTGTTAAAACTAACATGTTGAATTAGGCCAGAAGAGCAGTTAGGAACCAATTAACCTCAGAAAGCAGTGGGCAATTTAAACAGTCTTCCTGGCTTCTGTAAAAGGGAGTTTGCAGCTCAAACTTAAATCGGTAAGACTGACGTGTTGCCTGGCTTGCATGTCTTCTGATCTAATTTCTTGTTTCTAGGTCAGTGTTTTTCACATTCACTGCTAGTAGTTTAAACAGTCTTCCTGGCTTCTGCAGAAGGGAGTTTGCAGCTCAAACTTAAATCAGTAAGACTGATCTAATTTCTTGTTTCTGGGTCAGTGTTTTTCACATTCACTGCTAGTAACCTTGCGTTGGAATAGGTGTGACACTGACTAAAATATGTGGTAGTAGTGTGCTTGTAGTCATCATCATTGTAGTTCAGAGAAAACCAGGTTCACACATGGAGTACAGTCTTGACTATGTCCATAAGACTGACCTTGGTAGTCTCTGCTAATAGTAATATATATAGAAAGTACCCACCAGACTGAGTGTTTCTGAACTACTGCGCAGAATAACTTAATGAAATTTTGTCTGTCTCTACATGTTATTCATAGCTAGATGCTCTGAGAAATGTAGACCAGGAGAAGTTGCTGAAATCTGAGTTTAAAGTCTGTGACATGAGAGGAACATAGAATGAGATGTGTTTGTATTGATGCAGGAAAAATATAAAGATGTATGAACAAATTTTAATTAGTAGTGTGTAGAGGTTTTTGTTAATGTTCTTTTCCCCTAGGTATCTGTAAATGGAAAGCATTTGTTGCTTTACAAACATAGAATTAAACTGGAAAAAGTAGACACCCTTGGGATATATGGGAATGTGGAAATCAGCATGATTGGCTTTGTTTCAAATAAGGTAAGTTGTTACATGAGATCACAGCTTTTGGGGGGATTCCTCTAAATAGACAATGCAAGCATTTGCCTCTAATGTTGTGCTGAAATGAAACATAAAGGACTACTTCATAACTAAGAACAGAGCGGAATTGGTCCACTTCGCTCGCAGCCAGAAGTCGTAGAAGAGACCCTATCCACTTTGTTCCTCAGACAGAAGATGAGAGAAGTTGGTGGCTGTAGTACTAGCCAGTGACGAAGGTAGAGAGTACCTGTAGTAGAGGGACAGTGTTTCTATAGGCCGTGGCTCTGGCAACTTCAGTCCTCCTAATGTTATGGGACTTCCAAGTTGATTTTCTTTTTTAAAGAAAAAGGTATCCAAGAGGTGGATGTGGTTAATAATGGTACCATTCCTTGTATACCCCCCCCCAAAACAGGTTTAAGTTAAATTTGGAAAATTTGGAGAACTCATGGTTCCCTGCCCTATTTTGCAATCTCTGCAAATGGGTAGAATATTTATCAGCAGGATGTTTTTGTATTGCTCATGAAATCATATTTTGCATGTTGATTTTCAACCTAATTTAGCAGACAAATGAAATGGTAGATAGGCTTTTGACAATAGGCATCACAGTTCTTCATCTCAAAAGCAGGCTGATTCACAACCTTTCTGTAATATTATTACCTTGCTCGTGTCCCAAAGTAGTTGAAAACCACTCCTCTTCCAGCTTGCTGGCAGAATGCTGGATGTGTTAATGTGCCATCAAGTCACTTCTGATTTATGATGATCCTAATAGGGTTTTCCAAGGATGGGAGAATTTTAAGGAATGGTTTTACCATTGCCACCTCTCCAGACTGAGCAGGGATTTGAACCCCTGCTTTATGCTAGCAGATTCATATTTAGAGATCACGGTTGATTTAGATGGCTTTTCTATGACTGACGGTGTTGAACTCTCAACCTATCCTTTCTTTGCAGTCTTTGCAAGGTTCTCAGCCTTCCTTGCTAGGGACAACAAAGAAAAACACAGGAAATGTATGTACAGTATTCTCATTCTATGGCTAGGTTCATGGCTGTTTTTCCTTGCATGTGTATGTAAATCTGTCTTTTTCTTACCAACAGGAAGAATTGCCTGATAGTTCACAGTTTGTAAGTATCCACCTACATATAAATGCATATAAAGCACAGCATTCAGAAATTAAGGAAATAGCGTTAAGCTGTTCTATGTGCCATTTTAGTACAGAAGCTTCTCCCACTTTTAAAATATTGAGATCAGGAGATAGTAAAATTATAAATCAGGTTTTTAAAGAGCACAGAGGATTTATGGTTTGTCAAGTCTTTTTTTAAAGCTTAATTTTGTCAACAGCAAAGAAACTTTCTGTCGCTACACTGGGGAACAGGGAAATCCTAGTTTGCTCTAGTTAGGTACTGTATTGACTATTGGTTTGTGGCGGGTTCTGTTCTTGATCATCCCAGAGTGCAGGACACACAACAATGGGCTCAAGTTACAGGAAGCCAGGATTTGGTTGAATATCAGAAAAAATGTCCTGTTAGACCAATACGAACACAATACCTCAACAGGTGGCGAGTGCTCCAATAGTGAACGCATTCAAGAGAAACTTAGACAACTACCCAGCAGATATCCACCCAGGATTCCTGCCTCGAGCAGGGGGTTGGACCGGATGGCTGTATAGGCCCCTTCCAACTTCACTATTCTGTGCTTCTATGAACACGTGCCTTAGAGATGCAGTGTTATGTAATAAGAAAACAGCTCAGCCTGAGGAATATATATCTGTTCACAAGCGGACCAATGTTTGAAGCCTGCCCACATTACAATTTTACAGTGCAATCATTTGCATGTTTGTTCTGACATGTCTCACTGAACTGAGTGGGATTTGTCTAGGACTACAGCAGTAATTCCAGTAATTGTCATATTTTTCAGGTGCTTCCTTATTTTGCACGACTGCATTCTTCTCTTGAGCCTGGGCGAACAATTGTTATTAAAGGTGAAGTTAAAGAGAAAGCACAAAGGTTAGTAAAACCAAGAGGTGTTCATAATGTACATTAGAATGCTCTGTCAGTGTGTGTGTGTGTCCTAGCAATGTTTCCTCACAGATCTACTGAGTAAAATGGGACTTAAGCCTTAGCAAGATTACATAGAACATCAGCCCATGCTACCATCAGTTGCTGAGCCGGATCTCAACCCTCCCTGGTGGAGATCTTTACAAGTAGATGTGAGGATAATATTATTGCATCATGAAACTTCAATAACACCTTGTGCTATTACAGAGCTGCTTTATACTGTGCTCATCAGCAAAACAGTACACTGGTCTGGTGAGGAAAATCTTGACTTCTGCATATGGATTCCAATCAATTTGGTTGTACTATTTACACATTTTATCATACCCTTTGTACTTCTTACACCTTTACAAAACAAGGGAGCTGTTGTTATCTGCTGAAGACTGCTGGTTTTTGTAAACAATTCAGCTTTTTGCAGAGGGGAAAAAAAAGGCTAATATGGGATCAGGAAAGATTTAGGGTGATACAGTGGTGCCCTTCTACCAGGATAATGGGCACTGTTCCCCAGGCTGCTTCAGAGGATTGGAACAGTTGGAGAAGGAAAAATAGTTTTGGAATGAGGAACTCCATCTATGAAAGATTTTCAAGGACACACCTGTAGCTTGTAGCCCCTTGAAATCAGAGTAGTTTTCAAATGTTTTCTAAACGTTTTATATATTTTGGTCATGCTATTTGTACATGATCTTCTGAGAGATCATGAATGGTAGCAAATATTTAGGACAGATATTAACCAAAATATTTGTGACACATGTGGTTTCCTACAAGGTTGTCCATGTACTAAGATCACAACAAAATGTAATATAGTTTGGAAAATCTACTTGTTTATTCTACAAGACCCAAAATCCACCAGGTAGGCTGGTTGTGAGGTTTTGGGAGTTGTTGTTCAAACAAATCTTTTGTACCCTTGCAGCTCATGCTTTGAAAAGCAGGAAAAAGTTTCTTGTGTAGAAGTTCTCCTAAAACATATGCCTTTTCTGTGCAGAAAGCAAAAACAGAGCTGATACTATCCTCAGTAGCTTTTAAGACTATTTATTTCCTTTAAAAATGCAGTTCTTAATTAGAAACTTACAAAGAACTGGAGAAAACTAAGAAGATCCAATTTGTGTAAAATGATTTATAAACAGCTCAACACATTTTTGCTTGAATTTTTCTGGCCATCTGCAGGCCAAAATGATGTCTGCCTGTAGAAATTTTAAGGAAGTGTATTTTAGAAACGGAAGTTTGCCAGGATCCATATTCATAGAATCTCTGAAATGTTGTTTTCCACCAAAGGAGGCCATATCTAGGGTGTTGTGGTGAAACAGCTGTTTATGAGAGTAAATTACATTGCTGATGGTGATAAACGTTAAGAATGGTACTTGCTGATTTTATGAAAATTGAGTACTACTCAGTTCTCTCCCCCCAATTTCTTCAGGTTCTCTCTGCCCCCTAATAAAATAACTGTTTAACAGCAGCCTTCCTACTATTTCTATTTCCTTTTTTGTTTCTAGCTTTGCTATTAACCTTAAGCCCAGTGACTCCAAGGATATTGCCTTGCATCTAAATCCCCGAATGAAAGAGAAAGCCTTTGTGAGGAATTCTTATCTGTCCAGTGGTTGGGGAGAAGAAGAAAAGCACATCACCCATTTTCCTTTCAGTCCAGGAATGTACTTTGAGGTAATTCACTAAGCGAAGTGGCTCACATACTATTCTTAATGTAGACACTTGCTTGGGCCTTAAAAGGAGGTGGGATGCCATCAAAACGTGGGATGGAATAGGTAGTGCTGTTAGGAAAGTGGTTACATGGACCTGGACTTTACTCTGCAAGTTAGGAAGATTGTTCTGTGTCTTCTTGCTGAGTAGATATGCACAAAATCGCATCACAAGGCATACATTGGAAAAAGTTGCTGTGGTCTCTGCCTGCTACTAGAATGGGGCCCCATAAATCCTTCCCAAGCTGGAATTTGGTTAATGAGCAAGAAGCACCTTCCACTCTTTTCAAATGACTCCTAAAACTAAATGGGCGGCTTCTGGATAGCTCAGTGGTTTAGTTATCGGGTTGCGGAGCTAGAGGTTAGGATTTCCTCAGCGTGCCTCTTTGACAAGGGCTGGACTTGATGATCCATGGGGTCCCTTTCCAGTTCTAAGATTATTGTAATTTTTTCTGAAGTATCCACAGATTGCATGTATGTTCTGCTTAACTAAGGATGCTGTTGTCTTTAACTTTTCAGCTGATAATACTCTGCAAAGCCCATCAATACAATGTTGCTATTAATGGCATGCATACTTTAGAGTACAAACATCGATTTAAACAACTCAACAAGATCAACGTTGTGGAAATATCTGGGGATATTGACTTACTAGATGTGAGGAGCTGGTAGCTATGAAGAAATCGTGTGTAATTTCCAAGACATTTCCTTTATCCTTCCACTCTAATATATATAAAGTATCTTGGGAAATATTTTGGACTTTTCATGGAACAAAGTATTCTGGTTAATAACTAACAGGTCTTATAGAATGTGTGCACTGTACCAATTATTAGTATACAGAGTGATAACTACTAGCTGTTGCTTCTGAGATTACTTCAAATTCAACATTAAATGTATATACCATTGAAGTTTCATAAAGTACAGTGATTACTGTCAAGCTTTTACATTTCTACTTTTACAAACCTTTGTAAAAGTAATGGCCAATATAGTCACTGTGACAGAAATCATTAGACGTTTGACTGACTGTATAACAGTAGAAGCTATTCTCTTATGGGCACCATTATTACTCTACAATTCCATTCAAACAAGTGCCACTGAGTTCAGTGAGCTTGGTCTGCTTGGAGTTTTTGCACTATCTAAAGAAACTTCAACCAAATCTCTTTCCGTAAAGGGACATGATTCAAATGAAAGAGTGCAGATGTTTTTACCAGATAAGTCTGTTTTTTTAAAGCATAGATAATTGAGATGATAGGTTTATGATCCATATTTTCAGCAGATCTCCTCAAAAGATTTGTATGCACTTCTGATGTGTTCAGAATTGAAATACAACTTCTGTGAAGCTATTTAGAAAAATGTTTGCTTTCCTAAAATAAAACCAAAATGCTGTTAAGGTTGGTGTTTTCTTTTAAAAAAAACAATATGTCATTTAAAATCATTAGCATATTCAGTATTAAACCAATAAATGTAGTTAATGTAGTCCCATTTCCAACCTGAATATGGTCAGTTGAGGAGCTCTGAGTCCTCAATTAAGAATTAACAAAGATTCTCCTACTATTGGTATTTTCATGCTCTGAAAGGGAGAAATACAGCTTTCCATCAACAGTTAAGAAAGGGGTGAAGAGTTATTAATTAGCTCTTCCCCTCCATGAGAAACTTCAGCAGCAGCTTGAATGTCCAAATGGCAGGAAAGGGGGAAAGAAAAGCTTGGAAGCATGATATATCTCCCCCTAACTCTCAAACTTTGACAGATTTAAAGCAGGCCAGCTTGAGTTCCGCAAGGATATTGAGAGTTGAAATGGTGGAGCTATATGGTGAATCTAAAGCTAAAGTAAGCTCGAGGATTCAAAAATTATATAAGGTGGGGGGAATGGAAACCTTTTGAACCATGTGAACTTGTGGATAATGTGAATGATAGAGCAACCCTACTAAAAGAATTAAGTGCATTTTCTGCTACTGGAGAGTTCTTTCAGAGCTAGGAGCTATTTCTAAATAGAAGATGGCCAAAAATATACATGCTGCAATACTTCCTGAAATTAAGAAAAAAATAACATTCAGTTCATTGTCATCCACTCAGCAAAACAGCCTTCTGGGTCATTTAAAAAAGGGGGGCAAGGAAGCAGCCAGCCAACTTTACACACAGCAAAGCAAACAAGAACACTAAGAAGTTCCCTCAAATATACAACTTTAAAGGAAGAAATACATAGCAAATTAACACAATATTTTTTAAATAGATTTTTTAACTAATTTTTTTGGGGGGTTGGGGGAACAATTTTTTAAAAAAAACAGCCCTCTCCACAAACAAAAACAAGAAAAGCAAACAAAAGATCTTCCCCAATCAAGGCTACTAGAATATGGGGCAATTCCCCACCAATTGGTGCTACCAGGGAACCCAACTCTTCATTGAGTACCATAGCAGCACCAGGTAATCCATAATCCAAGATGGAGCATATTACAACACAACTCCTCCTCACTGGGTGCCAATCAGTCCAGGCCCTTTTACATACTCAAAATGCCTGCTCCCCTTCTTAGACATACTGATTAGCTGCTGATAGTAGGTCTCACAATTCTATTGGATGAATAATATCCTGGGTCATTTGACAAAAGGTGAAAGAAAGGCTAAACAAAAAGAACACAAAATGTTTGTGCACCCTTCTTTTGTTGATACCAATAATTTTTGTTTCAAAGGCTTAATTTCAGGAATTAATGAAAGAACACAAAAAGAGAGAACCTCTTCTGCATTCTTCTGGGTAAACACAGAAGTTTCATCCCTAGTAATTACAGTGATGTGCCTTAACTTAAAGCATTTTAACATGAGTGGAACACTTTCAATTAGATGAGCAACACGTGGAAGATTGCTGCCATGGGTTACCCTTATAAGTGCTGCCTATGGTCTCACATGTTTTCAAAGTGTGTGTTTTCAAGAATAAAAGAGAAGAGAAGAGAGAAATCCATTTATACAAATTAAAATGTCTTAACAAAGAATGTCCAGTCACAGTACAGAGCTCCACAAGCTAGTTTAAAAAATACACAAAAAGTGGCTGTCTTAAAAGCGTCAGCATCTGCTTGGTCCCAACATATGTCATGCTGTAAAACTTTGCAGAGATAATGAGGTTAGAAGTAACTCTGCAGTGGTTCTCCGAGAATAACTTCAAGCTGCTGAATCGTCTTCTGGCACTGATGCTCAACTTCTTCACATTCATCTGGGAACAGGAGGGGAAAAAAGACAACCGTAACTGAAGTGTTACTTGGAAACTAACTGAAGCAAAACTGATAAATGCAAAAGATAAAACAGGAGATGCAAAGTCAAAGAACACCATTAAGCACTGAACATTTGGTGGGACAATACAGTTTCTACAGTGGGGTCTCGACTTACGAACGGAAAAAAGTAACTGAAGTGTTACTTGGAAACTAACTGAAGCAAAACTGATAAATGCAAAAGATAAAACAGATGCAAAGTCAAAGAACACCATTAAACACTGAACATTTGGTAGGGCAATACAGTTTCTATTAGTTCTCTAAGGGGCAATAACAGAGCTCCTAGCAAGGCTGGGAGTTTTTTAAAAAGGGTCCTGGTTCCGGCTTCACCAATGTCTCCTTTAAAGGGGGAGATGCAATATAAGATGGGCACTGATGTCATCCAGATTGCATTTGAACATATTTGGGTGGGGCCTGATCCCTTGCCTCCCAAAATTTCCCCACTCCTGCCATGGAGGAAAGGTAAGGACACAAGGAAATGCAGAGCAAGAGTTCTCTGTGGAACTGGATACATTACCTTCCATCAGCTCAGCTAAGAATGGAATAGACTCTGGCAGTAGTACCATGTAGTTTTCTCTTATTTTTTCTGCAAGTTCTAACAAAGCTAACAAGGCAGCAAATCGAACCTAAACAGAGGAACAGCCAGGTCACAGAAGGGCACCTTTGTATCACATTATTACATTTAGAGATTCAATCTCTAGAGTAGGCAGTGAAGGCAACACAGCTCTCTATGCAGCTTTGTTCAAGACAGTGTATTAATTGCACAGCTCATACAACACCCAGCAACAATATGATTACCATTTGCTAAAAGTTTACTGAAGCAATTACTCTTATTCTACCCCACTCCAAACTGAGCATCTGACTAAGTCAGCCAAATAGTCCACTGACATGTGACATCACCTCACAGTGGCATGGATGTAATTACTGTAGCAACTCTGGTACATACCTTGGGTGATGAATGCCTCATTTTCAGCAAAACCTGGTAGTTCAATGGCTTCCACAGAGAGTCGTCTGCCATGGCAACTGCAAACTGCGCTATACATGGGACCAAGTGCACTGTTACTCTTTCCTGGTATCTTTCTTCACCACCAAGCATGTTTTCCAGCTATTTTGAGAAATATAATCACATGCACACCAGGTGAAACAGATTGCATAGCTTCAGTTCATCTGTGTTAGCTAGTCTCCCCAAATTCCTCTCAATTCACTTAAATCAGTCTTGGGTTATGACCTTATAAAACTAAGCTTTTTTAAACAAACCTCTTTTTTGGAATCTGACAGAATTCAGGTAGCCTGGACCCAAGCTATACAGGGCCTTTATAGGTAATGACCAGCACTTTGAATTGGGCTCAGAAACAGACTGGCAGCCAGTGAAGTTCTTGTAACAGGTGCGTTATATGCTCCCTGTAGCTGCCCCCAGTCAGGAGTCTGGCTGCCGAGGTTTTGCACCAGCTGAAATTTCTGAACTGTCTTCAAAGGCAGCCCCACATAGAGCATGTTGCAGTAACCCAAACAGGATATAACAAAGGCATGTGCCACTGTAGTCAGATCCAACATCTCAAGGAACAGGCGCAGCTGGTGCACCAGCTTTAGCTGTGCAAATGCACTCCTGGCCACCACTGAGATCTAGGCATCCGAGCTTAGGGATGAATCCAGGAGTACATCTAAGTTGTGGACTTGAGTTTTCGGGGTGGTGGTGGTGTAATCCTATCCAGCACAGGTAGTATCCCTATTTCAGTGATGGCGAACCTTTTGGGGCATGAGTGCCCAAAAACCCACAAAACCCAGCAGGTGGCGGAACTGGAAGTGGCAGTGCTGAAACTGGAAGTGGTGGCAGAAGGGGGGATCCTGGGCACAGAGGTGCCTTGAGACCCCACTCCAGATCCACCAGCAGCCCCAGCCTGCTCCAGATCTGCCTGTCGAAGCGCCAGTACCGCAGCTACAGCCACCACCTCAGGTTTGGCTGTGCAGGGGGAGGGAGTAGCAATCTGGCAACTTATGGCTTGCGTGCCTGCAGAGAGGGCTCTGTGTGCCAGCTGTGGCACGTGTGCCATAGGTTCACCATCACTGCCCTATTCCCTAATCTGCCTTCCGACTAACCCGGAGCACCTCTCTCTTGTCTGGATTAAGTTTCAGTTTGTTTGCCCTCATCCAGCCCATTACTAATGCCAAGGACTGGTTTAGAGTCAAGACAGCTTCCCTGGAATTAGGTGGAAAGAAGAGAAAGAGTTAAGAGTCATCCACATACTGGTGACACTGAACCCTAAAATTCCGGACAACCTCTCCCAGCAGTTGTATGTAGATGTTAAAAAGTATGGGTGACAAAGCAGAACCCTGAGAAACGCCCTCATCCAGCCCATTACTAATGCCAAGGACTGGTTTAGAGTCAAGACAGCTTCCCTGGAATTAGGTGGAAAGAAGAGAAAGAGTTAAGAGTCATCCACATACTGGTGACACTGAACCCTAAAATTCCGGACAACCTCTCCCAGCAGTTGTATGTAGATGTTAAAAAGTATGGGTGACAAAGCAGAACCCTGAGAAACACCATGGGTCTATGTAAATGTTAAAAAGTATGGGTGATAAAGCAGAACCCTGAGAAACACCATGGGTCAATGGCCAGGGTGTTGAGCAGGAGTCACCCAGCACCACCTTCTGAGTTCTCCCCTCCAGGAAGGACTGGAGCCACTCTACGACAATGCCTCCAAGTCCCATCCCACAGAGATGGAACAGAAGGATACCATGGTCAGTGGTATCAATTAAGCAAAAAGCATATATTTTAGAAGCACATTGGTGTAAGTTAAGAAATCTACAGACATTAGGGTTGCACACTGAGTTGTGTGATTTTGTGTACAACAAATAATGCCTACAGGGATTTATTAACTCATGGCAATAAGGTACTAAAAGTCACACCTTTTGCAGAATAACACTACAGGATTTCAGCCAATTCCAAGTAATGCATCAGCATTGGTTACATTTAATTTGAAAGACATGCTCTTCTTTATAAGTAGTAAAACTAAGGCAGTACGCTAGATTCAGGGTCCTAACTGGATGTATACGATTTGGCAATAATGGAAAAGAAATAGAATAAGAAGGGGGAGGGAAAACAATTTATGTCCATTCACATATTAATTTAAACATATATATGGTGGACTAAGGGGAACTGGCTAAGAGTCTTAAATGTCCGTACTACAGTATACACCAGCTAAGAAGCAATCTGATTATCTCACATATTAAACATTAATATATATGGTGGACTAAGGGGAACTGCTTAAGAGTCTTAAATGTCCGTACTATACACCAGCTAAGAAGCAATCTGATTATTTATACCTGATTCACCAATGGCATCATCAGTGTTTCTGCTCTCTCTTTGCTCACAAAGCGATGAGAATCAAACAGGAAGATTTTGTGTAAACAATCGAGAATGAACTGTAGCAACAAACAGCTCTTTTCAGTGTTGTTCTCTGAGTCAAAGAAAGCTTCATCTGCACAAGAACAGAGTAAGAAAGCAGATAAATGGAAATTACCTAATTACTACCAGCATAACATCTACAGTGACTGTGGTCTGCACAAGCTCCATGTGAGTGAGAACATCAGCTGTGAACACACTGAGGTTTGAAACAGCAATGTTTTCAGGTATACAGATAGGAGTGACACTCAACCTGTGACCTCAGTGTTTAAGCTGAAGCGACTGTGACCAATTTGTGCAATATGCTACACTACTAATTATGGTAGGTAGTTTCTGATGACTAAACCATTTCATTGCATGGGAGCAGCAGGATGGAAAGAGGAAGTCTGTAACCTAACAGAAAACCTCTGTCTACTGATAATATCCGGCAGCACAGATGGCTTCCAAGCAATGGAAGAGTTGCTTGCAAGTCAGGCAAGCCATGGCAGAAAATGAGGAAGTCTTTAATTCTTGAAATTTCCCCCCATTCTAGTAGTTTTAGAAGAAAAATTCCCCATGCTAGTGGCATCCTCAACCTTCCACAGCAAAACGTATGCAACAGGATTTTGGACAGTTTCAATCAGCTGAGGGTCACAAATGAACTTACACACAAAAAAGGAAAGAACAATTACACTATTTCTCTCTCTTTTGGTATTCTTTGGATTCTTTAGACACTGGAGCAACTTCTTTCAATTAGTCAGGCTGCTCTAGGTGACAATCTACATATGCAAACATTTGTTTGCTATTTAGAGTTTGTTTGGGCTATAATGTGTCTCAAAATCTGAGATAAAAATGAGGAAAGGAGAAGGAATCTTTTTAGAGCGGGACTGATTTGGTGCGAAATGTTGAAATTTCTGAGTTTATACATGAGAGATTAAGTGTGAGTATATATAAAAGTATGTGTGTGAGCCAGAACACTAGCATATAAACAGCGTTATTAGCAGCCAAGTTTCATCCCAACTGCATATATCTCTGACAGTTAACCCTCTAAGCACTTATTGGCTGACACCAGACAGAATCTGGTTACACATGTTCAATTAAGAAAATACAACTTATTAATTCTTATATACATATACAGTATATACATGCTAGGTTGCATAATTATATATTCTGAGAAGAAAAATGGCCTAGCTGGTGGCCCACAACAAGAAAGGAAATGCCTATGGCTTATCTCTTGGGAATGCGACGCCCCAAGGCCAGACCGGTATTGGGCTAATTTTAATTTGGTTTCAGTTGGGATGATGGGGGGTGTGTGTGGAGCAAGAGGCACTGCCTACCTTCAAGGAGAAATGCTACCTGGCTGGCTGAAAAGTGTGGAAGGGTCTGGAAATGATGATTAATATATAGAATGGGGCATGGGAATACACTTTTGGGCCTTTTAAGCTCAAATACTATCCTACCATGCTGCTGTGATGAGATGTTCTGTGTGCATGCCCTGCAGCTATGCTATTCTTTACACTAGAATGGAAGCACACGGTGCAAGTTCTAGCTGACAGACACCTCAACATGGCTCATCTGGAAGACGGGCCTCAGCAGGAAGCCTTTGAGGCTTAGCTAGGCCTACCTCCACCTAAGGCCCTGTTCAGAAAAAAAGCTCCCAAGTAGCACTTGGGCAGAAACCAGGAGCATGAGCAGAGTCAGGCCTAGCTAAGCTTTAAAGCCTTCCATTGAGGCCTTCTCCCTGGCAAGCCAGAACTTCAGCCAGAACTGCCTGAAAGGAGAATTGCGGGATTTGCAGTCCAAGAAATCTGACAATTCCATCCCTAAAATAAAGAGTTAACTTTCTTCCTTTGCTGCTGTGATTTTCCTGCTTTTCTTCAAACTTGCCTCTACCATTGGATTTCTTTTTTGACTTTCGGGGGATTTTGATCTGGCTTTACTACAAAACATTCTCCCCATTGACCTGGTTATTGAATTGGGAACCTTGATACTAAAACCATCCTTGTCCCTTGACAATTTTTGAGAAGTATTTTTTAGCTCAAATGTGTGTAGTGGCAGTGATCTACCTTGCAAGGCTGATATGCTTTCTGAAGTTAGCTATTTTGTGGAATTCTAATTCCTGCTTTGCACAGCCAAACCAGAGCTAGAATGGTATGTTCTGGACACCAAGTACCATATTTTTCCATTTACGCCCCCATTTATAACATGCCCCCCTTTCTAACCCCCAAATTAAGAACATTTAGCTTTTGAGTATTCTGGGCTCAAAACGTCGGACATTATGAGTCCGAGCCTACAGACCAAGTACCATATTTTTCTGTTTACGCCCCCATTTATAACATACCCCCCTTTCTAATTCCAAAATTAAGAAAATTTAGCTTTTGAGTATTCCGCCTCTGGGCTCAAAATGTCGGACATTATGAGTCCGAGCCTACAGACTCCACCTCCAAGGAAGTGTGTTCCAGTTGGTTTGTTCAGCGACAGCTGATGTCAGTTCCATAAGGCTCGTGACTTGAAGAAGCTAAGCCTCGTGACTGTAGGAAGCTAAGCCTGACTGAGGGAAGCCTGTTTACAGAGACAAGGTATCTGCCGTTTTGTTTTCTCCCCAGCTATCTCAGCTTACTTCCATGTAAAAGACGCACCTCAATTTTTAGTGTAATGATTTAAAGAAAAAGTAGCATCTTATACCACAAAAATACAGTAATCTGTTGGTTAATTACTATTTTAGGTCAGACTACAGGTCCCAAGACTGGTTCAGCAGCATTTACTCCCTCACCCTCTGCCTGGGTCTCACCTATGTTTAGGACAAGGGGTGGGGTGGGGTGGTATTTTCACATAATGAATCTATAGACTTTTGAATTTCTGGATTAAGAAATCCTGGATTTTGGCATGCAATATACTATGGAAAATGAGCACAACACAATCAGGGAAAAACAGATTCAAATGTTACTATGTTTCCTAGAATTGTCCTTTTTACTCATAAGCTGCAGCAGGAAACTTACGCTTTTTGGAAGTATTGATCTGATTCAGAATGTCAGCAAAAGGCTTCACTAAATGACCAGCAAAAAGGGTGAACAGTCCTTTTAGCTGTCCAGCAATGCAATCTGCCAGTTGGCAAAAAGTCAACAACCTGTCCTTTGACGCACCCTCAGTTCTTGCCCAATCGAAGAGCTGAAATACGCAGAGAGGAAGTTTAATTTTGTTACAAGTATAAGTTGTCAAAAGAAGAATCATATCAACACTCCTACCTTGAAGAAGAGGGGTCTGAAAGATATTTCAGAGAGCCTCATAACCATGCTGATTAAGCACATAATAATATGAGTTTCTATTTTCCCGACATCCTCCAGATCATCCTAGAACAAAATAGATACTACTTTTCAGAAGCTTTACAACAACATTTACAGTATTTACTCATATTTTTACCTACTATAAATATTGAGGATAATGTTACAGTAAGTAGTCACTGACAGCCAATGTGGTGTAATAAATGGAGGAGTGATGGACTAACCCAGGAGACCTGAGTTTGAATCACTGCTTGGATGTGGAAACTTACTGGGTTAGGCAACAGTAAAACCACTTCTTAACTCTCTCACACACCTAGCAAACCTGTTAAGATTGCCATACGTTGGATGCAACTTGACTGACCATAATATACTCATGGCCAATATGCAAGTCTGTAAAGATTGAGCATTAGTGTACAGTGATAGATCAATATGTAATTTTTCCATGCAGCTTGGATTCATACATTCTATCTCTTGACTAGCTCTTCTGTCTCTTTTGATAGTGCAACTGAAAGTAAGCTTGGCGTGTCTTGGAAGGGGCTGATATATTCAGTGCTGCTTCCTAAAGATCTCTCCTACACTCACCTCAGAATGTTCAGCTCTGAAGTCCAGTGCATTCATGAAAAATGTTGTCAGCTCAGACTGATGTGCACTCAGCTGATCTCTTTCCAGAATGGTAATATGCACCTTCAGAATATCCATTACTGTACCCAGATAGTTCTGGGGGGGGGGGAAACACAACGGAAAGAAGCATACAACTGATGCTCAAATTACCACATACAAAGTTCCAAAATAACATTGCCTTGCAAAAGAATTTCTTTCATACTTGGCATTTTAAAATGGTCCCAAAAAGTAACATGTCACCATTAACGTTATTAAGGTGCTACTTCCAGCAAGTTATTTTCGAACTCGGGGAATTTGACAGTCAAACCCAACTGTCACTATAATATAAGACCTGGCTTTTGCAGGTGGAATTCTTGCTCCTTGACCTTTTAGTATTCAATAGCCACTTCATTTGTGAATGTCACTCTATTACCATCTCTTTAAAAAAAATTAAACAAAACATCACTAATGCATACGTTCACTTAACTGAAGAGCAGAAGCATATCATACCTTATAAGCACTTGCTACTTCACTATAACACTTTGCAACTGCTGGCAGAAGAACTCTGGGTGGAAGCTTTGTTGCTAAGGTAGTTTTCAGAGATGTCACCCGTAGATTAACGTGGGATGAAGGTCCCATTTGAATGGCAATCCTTTCCAAATGGACCACCTGACAGGCAGCAATTGTATAGGTCTAATTAGGTCACGAAAAAGCCTCATACATTTTGTTACTTAATTGATTCACGGTTCTTCATGTTCCAATGAAGACCCATTACTCACCTGCAGCAAGAGATCCAGCAGATACGGACTAAGGAAACGTGGCAATGTTTCCACGATTTTCAACAGTGCCGTCACTGTGCTAAGCAAGTAGATTTCATTGGCCATCAATTCCGTTTTTTGTTTCAGTATCTTTAGCAATGCTGGCATAAGCCTATTAAATAATACATATAGAAGGTTAGCTTAATTCAGGTCAAATACATTTCACCACAATACCATTTCAAAGAAATAATAAGGGCAAATAATTCAAACAAAATATTCCCGAATGCACAGAGATTATCAGTATAATATAATGTCAGCTCAGGTTACATTATGAAAAACGTTGTGACATCAGCTTGGTACTCTTACATAAGTCAGAAATACATACAAAGCACAAAGTCATTGTACAAAACACTTTCCCCAACATAGTCAGGATATTCATATGAAAGATATACATGCATTTCAAAGCCATTTAAACCTCTGTAAATTGACACAGGATTGTGGATAACAAGATTGGACTTGTGACAGGATTGTCACCAGTCCAAATTCTCCCTCAGCCATCACCAGGGCTCCTTATCCTCAGACTTACCCCAAACTCCTGCAAGAAGAAGACACAAACATCTGGGCCTATCTTGCTGATACAAGTATAGCTGGAAGAAATGCAACAACTTAAAACTGCTTGTTTTACCATTATTTCTAGGGTTTATTAGGAGCTGAGCTACCTTGGAAGCTGAGGTATTGCCAGCGCTTTCAACACACAGGTGACTTCAGCTATACACAGCAAAGCACTTCCTATGACATTTCTGTCCTCCTTCCCTTCTGAAGAGACCACATCGACAGCCATTTTCAGCACAGTCACAAACGGCTGCGTGTGTTTGCTGCCAAAACACTTGCAGAGTAGTTTCAAACTGAACAGTGCAGTCTGCCTGTTGATTGCCTGCTCCTCCTCAGCCTCGCTCGTCTTACGCTGCACAACGGTAATGAGATCAGGAACCATTTCTAACAGCAAATCAACCTGAAATGCGAAGAAAAATTGCAAGGCTCAGTCGTGATCCAGTGCCCAGTTAACCATTGTGGGTTCTTGCTGTGTGAAAGGAATACTAAAGGAGACTTGCAGAAATTGAGAGGAATGATTGCCTGAATTCTCCCACCTACCACAATTTTTCCAACTGCACCACAAAAGCCAGAACCAAAGTTGCGATATGGCAGCCACATAAGGAAATGTTCATGCCCCAGTATTCTTTCCTACTAGCCCTTCCTTAACCCACAGGGTAGACAAGTCAACCAGAAACCAATGACTCTGGCTTAGTGTAGTAAGGTGCAACTAGAATAAGACCACTGGATCAATGGAACTCACCAAATCCCCACTGATTCAATGGGTGTACTCTAGTTGCAACATATTAGGCTAAACAAGAAAATTTTATCCAATCATCATCTGTGGCAGACGAAGGCAGAGACCATCAGAAATAACGAGCTTACTTGTGTTTCCTGCCATTGAGTGCGCTGCTGCAACTTATTGTTCAAGAGGTCCATTGCTTTACGTCTCACAGGAGACAGATGGTTGGCCATCAGGCCCCTGATGACAGGAATAAAGGTTTCCGGTGGCATTAAGGCATTGACCTGGAAAGAAAACACAAGGAAAAAAGGCACCATGTTTTATAAAACATCTTGTTTCCACCATGGCATTTGGAATGCTTTCATTACAGAAAAATCTCAGGAGAAAAGGGAATCTCTCCCATGCCACTACTTGTCCCTCTCATAAAACATTGTTCCTAGCTCATCTGAACACTATTTTGTGTAGCACATTGGCTATGTGTGTAATGCATTCATCTCCACTAAGCTCTACTGATCATGGATTTTTATCTCATGCAAAGATAATTCTCTAGTTTCTTCATTCCATTGTAGTCAAAGAGACCCTGCTCCTCCTGAACTTGAGGGGACTTCCAAGGGTTTGGGGCAGAGGGCTGTAGTAGGACAAAAGAACTGGGAGACTTAATGGGAAACTTCAAATCATCCCTGTCCCACTGCCTCTTCCCACTGTAGCCCCTGCTCCACATTCCAGGACTCTTTTGATATCCTTCAACCTTCAGCAGAGGTGCTTGATGAAGTAAATTCACCATGCACAAAAAAAGCAATTGAATGATTGTGAGATGAGGGTTGAGAATAGTAGCTCTCTCGCTGGAGTGCCGTCCCTCCCCATGACAACTGAGAGAGAGACTCAGACTCTGCCCATCTCAGCTCCTAAGAAAATAGAACAGTGGGGGACAGATATGTGAGAATTAGAGGGAGAATTACGAAAACTAATGGTTGAGGGGGCTCAGGAGAAAACGGTGGGAGTAGAGTGGAAGAAGAGGGTGGAGATAGAGGCGGGGACAGCAGATATAAAAAGAAAGGCGGAAAGTTTACCGCCAGGCTGGGAGCGAGATTGGATGGAGGATCCCTGGACTGGCACGTGGGAAAGATTGAGAGTCCCGAAGGAAGAAACAGATTACAGGCGGTAAAGAGAAATCCCCCCATGACCCTCTTATTGGGGAGAGGCTGAAGCCTGGGAGTGGCAGAGGAAACTAAGAGAGGAGGAGGAGAAAGTTGAAAGCGAAAGGAGAGAGAGAATAGAATCGAGGGTGAGCGAAATGAGGAGGAAGGGATACAGGGAGGACCCTGGGCAACCCCAACACTGGTCGAACACTCCGGCTGGATGGATGACCAGGACAATGACACCATTCCCCTACAGGATGGAGAAGCAGGACAGACAGTGACCCTGAACACATCCATAAACTGACCAGGTCCGTGGAATGCGGGTGACAGGAACCCTTTCCTATTTGAAGGATGGAAACCCCTGACTGACCTGTTGTTGGCAGGAGAGAAGTGATGGAACAACTTCGATGATACCGGTTGTTTGTTGAATACCCCAATAAACCTCACCCCTGTTTCAAAATTACAAAAATCTCCTAAATTATTTGACTGAAGGAAGGAGCCTAAAGTTGAACCCTCACAATGATCCCTTCCTGTTTTGCATGTCCTAAGAGATCACCTAGCCAGGTAAATTAAGCCTCTTCGCACCTACCAAAACACTGAGCCATTTTACCTATTTTTTCCCCTTTTATGTTAGTTTCTAGGCTGTTTTGCCATTGCTGATTTAATTTTTGTAACCTGCTTTTATTTATATTACATTATTGCTTTTACAATGTATAACAAACACATTTTTGAAGATTGAGAGAGAAATCTTTAAAATAAATAGTCATTGCTGAAATTAGATCTCCTAGCCAAATCTGGTGTACCCAGATGGTCCAATTCCTTTTGGTTTAAGTTAGAATTGGGGAGACTGGGGGAATAAGATATTAATATTTATTACTAGGCATCACCAGGGGCCTGTAAGGATGAGGGTTTCTTGAAACTGCTGTCCTAAAAGGTAGTTTTCCAATCTGTATTTTAGGCACAAAGAAGCTGAACAACCTTCCCAAAATATTTAAATTGTTCAACATATTAAGACTGACATAAAATAAGATCACAAATAGGAAGTTAAAATCACACTGCAAGCTGTAAGTAACAACATAAACTTACTTTATCCAGTACATCATAAGCTTTGTTAAGCAAAGCCCTCCAGAATTTTGCTGTTGGTGTATCAGCGTTTTTTTCCACTGAGTGTGCCACAGCATTTATGTAGCAAAGGACATCTTCCAACAACCTGGATAAACACAGTGAGTTCTTAAGTACCATAGAAAAATACAGCAGGAAGTTCAAAACAAAATTGGATGGCTACTAAGAACTAGGCCCAGAGGCAAGCAAGCCTAACAAGGAGACAATTTATACAGTGAGAGTTTTTGACATTTTTAACCAAGGAAAAAAAGCAACTGGACTGAATTGTTTAGTCTGAGATAGGTCCAGACTAAGGGCCTGACTTACAAATCTACTGAAATCAGTGGGACATACATCAGTGGATCTACACTATAAATGACAATTGGATTCAATCTGTGCATGATCAACTACAGAACCACCAACATTTATAAAGCTTCCAGCACTAGTGTTCGGATAAGAAGTTGAAAATCATATCCAAGGAACAGCTTTTCATCTTTAATTTCATCCTCCATATAAAGCTTCTAGAAAATATTTCTGTTTCTGTCTTTTTCTCCCATTTCTTCCCATCTTTGATACAGATTTATACCACTGGTCTCACCTAACACATTACTGTTCCATATCACTGATTATATCTAAAAGGCCCCCAAAGAGGTAGGACTACAGTGAGTAATGTTCAAATTAACATAACAGAAGCCCCACTTAAGTTTCCTCCTTAAGTCCTCCTAAGCTTGTATTTATATTCAGCAGAAAAGCAAACATACCTCTGTTCAACCTCCTTTAGCTCTTCAACATCTTCACATTCAACTACCTAGTTGGCAAAAAAGAAAAAGAAAAAAGGAGGGGGGAATGAAGACAAACAGTTAACCAGACACTGTCATGCTGATGGAAACTTAAATATGTGGTGCTAAATTGATGTTAATGAGATGCAAGCCAAAAGTCGACATTTCACGCTGTATGCAGCAGACAGAATTTGCAGGACTGCAATTTTGTTGTGAGTACAAAATCCAAATTTACATCAAAGAAATAGCAGTTTCCATAATCTGCATAATCTAATCTTGGTAAAACAGACACCGACAAATACAGACATGCTTTACAAAGAGCGGCCACAGCTCTGTGGCGGAACACACGCTGTCTACAAAGAAGATCCCAGGTTCAATCAAAACCCTGCTTGACATGCTGCAAAGCCACTTCTGAACTGGGTTGACCAGCAATGGGACCTGACATTAGGTAGTTTTCTGTGATCCTAACTATAAAAGACAGCAATGGATTTGCAATCATCTACTGCAGAACAGACTCTCAACCTTTTTGCCAGCAAGTTTCAAATATTCAGGGATGAGGGATCTCGCTATGCTGCAGGTTGAGGGGCTGCCTGATGGTCCCACTGTGGGTTGCAACAGGTCTGAAAATGGCTGAAAGAAGTCAGTTGGACTCTCCAAGCTAAAATCCTCCCACTTCTTTAAGTGGCAAAATGCCTTTCCTGGACAATTTTTTGAGGGGGCCTCAATAATGACTGCCAGGTCCCCATGTGACCTGTTGATTACATGATGCCAGGCCCTGGTCTACTCTCTTTATCTCATATCTGTCTGTCTGTCTGTCTGTCTGTCTGTCTGGGCCACTCTGTGTAGTTTACAACTAAAAACAGGTAAACAATAATAAAAGACAGTAAACACAAAAGCAATCAAAATCAAAATAAACATTAACTAATCATAAACTAGCAACAAAGTAAAAGCTAAAAAATCAAAATAAACATCAACTAAACATAAACTAGCAACAAAGTAAAAGCTAAAAAATAATAGGATCTCATTCTTGTTATTGCTTTATTGAGTTCTATCCCAGAATATAGATAACCATGAACTTAATTTGGACACACTGAAGATACAATTCCAGTCATGGTTTGTCACTAAATTTGAGATGATAGTCAATACAAAAGACATTTTTGAATATGGCCATACAATTAAACACTTCAGTTAACTGCAAATCCTCAACTGTAAAAGGAAACCATATCAAGCCCTCAGAAAGAAGAATCTGCCTTACTTTTTTCACAAAACTGTTTGAAGCGAGAAGCTGTGACATGAAGGAGACTGACAGGAATTTGAAATGCCTCAACTGTTTGCTAGAGTGAGACTCCACATTAAAGAGTTCTGTTTCATGACTCTGTAATTTTGTCCTGCGTACTCTTGATTTCTTTTGTCCAGGGTCATCTGAAAAATACACCCAAAAGAATAGTGTTTTCTAAAGCAAGTAAAAAGGTTTCACTGAATCTGTAAAATGCGACATTAAACCATTTTACTACCAAGAAGCCACAAGAGAACAGATCTTACATGTGACAGACAGCTTAAAAAGTCTGGCCATCTGGAAATTTTATGTCTACCTTTTCTGCAGTTGTGAAGTGGCTTAAATAAATGAGCTGCTTCAAAATATTGCTGAACTGAATACTTCCCTTGCTCTTCTACAGAGAAGCAGAAGTGAAATAGTAGTAGTAGTAGTAGTAATAGTAATGATAATGCTGAATTGAATACTTCCCTTGCTCTTCTAGAGAAGCAGAAGTGAAGTAGTAGTAGTAGTAGTAGTAATAGTAATAGTAGTAGTAAATGGTATATCACTCCTCCCCTTCCCCCCACCAACCTCAACCAACCCTATTTAGACAATATTAGCCCACACGAAATGGCCAGTCTAGACATGACCTAAGTCACAGTAAGAGTAGACCAATATGAATGAATGGAACTTATGGATGAGCTGTCTCATTAAATTGCCATTAATTCCATGGACCTACTCTAGTGTGATTTACTTCACTAAGTAGCAGGATTTTGGCCATTATCTGTGATTATGTACTACACTGGTAGGAATACTCAGCTAGTATAAATCCAGATATTTCTTGCTAACTGGTTTGTACTCATGCAGAGGTACACTTGTTGTTTCTCTAGCAATTACCTTCTTTGTTCTCTGGCAGTTTTGCTAAATATGCCAGCACTTTCATCAAACTTTGCAGTTGCTCTATTACACTAAATTCACAGCATATGGAGATCCAGAATTCTGTATCAGACTCCAGAACAGCATCCTGTATATGTAAAGTGGTTGGGAAAAGAAAAACAGAGGAAGAAAATTCATCATTTTGAAAAAGAAATGAGTGGCTTGCAATGTATTTTAAAGCAACAAATACATCATAAACATGGTTCTCACCTTCTCTCCATTGGCTGCTGCAGCCACGGATTTTGTCACATGCTGTTCAAACAACAGAACGAGAAGGATCCAGTGAAACCGCTCCACTCCCAAAGTGCTTATCAGCTGTTCCAGGATTGGGAGGCGGCGATGTTCAGGCACATGAGGCAAAGCATCCACAAACACGCGGATTATTTTTATCACTACCCCTTCCAAGTTTTCAGCACTTTCAGAAGAACCACCATCCTTATCAGCCTATAAAGCAAGCATTCAAAGAATTAGCATGTAGGACATACCAACTGGAGCCCTAAAGGCAATTTCTTTTTGTTCTTATGTGCCACCAAGTTGGAACTGACTTACAGCAACCCTAGGTGGCTTTTAAGGTAACTGCAAAATTGAAGGAAGAGTATTTCCAGTTCCACTCCCCACCCGAGTGAGTTTCCAATGCCAAGCAGAGATTCAAACCCAAGCCACCCGAGTCCTAATCTACCACTCTATCCACTGCGCCACACTGATAAAAAAATAAAGGATTTACTAAGAAGTAAAGGACTGGGGACTTTGAAATTATAACTGAAGGCAATGGACATAGGAACAATTGCTTTGGATAAAGGCTGAACTTGTTTTCATTCTACTTTAGCAACTCAACCTGCATTTTGAAATGCCTTACCTGTATAAGAGCAGGAATGACCATCTTCACGGTCTTACTAATCACCTGGAAACTGTAAGCATCATCCAGACGCATGACATTTGCCCCCATGAATGTAAATATGGGCATGATGTTGTGCAGCACTTTACCCTGGACAAGAGAAATCAGATGCTGCAGTTAGAAAACAAGTGACTGATTATAAGGATTTCTTTTGTCTTTTTGGTTATGGCTTTTTCTCTAAAGTTAAATCAGAAGTTCCCTAATTTTGTCCCCCAAATAACAGGAACCGGTCAGTCCCTTTCAATACAGGCAAAGCCTAACATGCTCAAACCCAGTTTCAGGACACACAAGTTTATTTAAGAAGGGAGGTCTCTCTGCATCCCAGGTGCTGCTCCATAGACTGGGATCTGTGGGGCTGAAGCATCTGCCAGAAAAAGGCACATTGTGTTCCTTGCTATGGAGCAGAGTCTCTCTACTGCTGGGAAAACAGGGAACAGTCATATTGAGCACACAGAAAGCTATGCCAGTCCTTCAGGATTTCACAATTATGAGGCAGGCACTCTTGAAAAGATACGTCATGAGTCCCCCTATTCAGAAATAAAGGTAATGGTTGTGGGACAATGCACAAGCTGGTATATGTTAACAGGGGTAAGAAAGAGGAGCTGTGAGGATGAAGGTTGTGTGAATGAAGGGGATTTGGAGGAAATAAAGGAAGGCATCTGAAAAGCAAAATGGACAGGAAGTTTCAAGCGCAGGAGTGGGCCAGCAAGAATAAAATGACATACTCAGCCATGGAAAACTAAGGGAAGTTTTAAAATGTCCTCCAAACCACAGAAGACAAAAACAGCTCACTTCTCAAAAAGCTGCTCAATTTGAACACCTGCTTTGCCTTTCAAGGAGCACACATGAGAAAGAGTGTACTCACAGGAAACATTCCAGCAGCTGCACCGAGCAAGAGCAGAGCATGGTGGTGTGTCTGAGGCATTTCTGAAACCCGGATGCACTGGACAATCAGCTCCACGTTGAACTTCTCCTCATCAAGAATTCCTCAAGATGCAAAACAAAACACCACTAAATTGGGCTTAATTTAACAACAGGTCACATGTATAATGTCAAAAAAGCAATAAGGCATATAAAGCAAAGGTGTGTTTTGGCATCCCTGATCTAAAACTGTTCCCACCCCCCGGTCTTTCTTCTACCTGTTTGTATCCTGCTCCCATCTGGAGATAGTTTCTGACAAATGTTTAATAGACCACCAAGTACTAGTTGTTTTATGTATTCCAGATTTTCTTGTTCAGCAGAAGGTTCCAGACATCTGTAAAGCCAGAACACAGTTAAATAAAATTTTTGGAGCAATATAATAGAATAATAGAAATAGAATATAACATATTACAGGGGTGCCTAACAGTTAAATAAAATTTTTGGAGAAATATAATAGAATAATAGAATAGTGGTTCTTAACGTGGGCGATAATGCCAATATAATAGAATAATAGAAATAGAATATAACATATTACAGGGGTGCCTCACAAGACGAATGCCTCGTGGGACGAAAAACTCGCAAGGCGAATGGTTTTGGCAATGGGGTTGATGACTCACAAGATGAATGTTCCTATGGCCGTGCTTCGCAAGATGAATATTTTCCATTTTTTTGTTCCTGCCTCATGTTTGCTGATTTTTAAATGTTTTTCTATGATGCTTAAAGTTTTTTTATTGCAATTTTTGAAATCATCTGCACAATATGTATGGCTTTAAAGAGCACTTAATAAACCCTTTAAACCAAATGTGACTTTGTTCTGACTTTTTTTGCCCATAGGAACGCATTAATTAGATTTCAATACATTCTATGGGAAAACGCGTTTCACAAGACAATTTTTTCGCAAGACAACATTAACCGTGGAATGAATTAAATTCGTCTTGTGAGGCACCAATGTATATCATATCATATGCAGTGAGGCATTACATTGTATTGTCTAATAAATTAATGGCAGCTCTTGCATTAATATTTGAAACTAGAAGAAAATTGACATTTCTAAAGAACCAAACCAATCTTGGGTAGTGTGTTGATGACTTGCTCCTTTCCAGTTTTAGTTACTGACGAGCTAATACAAATATGAAAATATGAGAGCACACTATTTTCATAAGTACTACTAAGTACTTCATAAGTACTTAAAGCTATAAAGTCTTATCAGATTCATACTTGATTTTGTTCTGATTTTTTGTAGTGTGTGCTCTGATCTTCTCATGTGGAGTAAAATAGTGTGCTCTCATATTTTCATATTTGTATTAGCTCGTCAGTAACTAAAACTGGAAAGGAGCAATGAAAGAATACATTACTTGGAAAAATTCCCAAGGGAACAACAGATACCACTGTGTGCATTCATGGAGGAAAAGTGCAGAAGTTTCTTGGTTTCCTAATAAGGCCAGGTAAGAAAACATACAATTCAATCTGGTTACTATCTCAATACAAATACTGGCAGGGAAGCATGTTTTGCCATGGTGCACCCAATCTGAGTACTGATGAAAGCCCCCTGCAACCCACTTCAAGGAGAACCAGCCGTGTAAGTTTCTGCTAGCACCGGGGTCCCCAACCCCCAGTCCGCGGCTTGGTGACAATCCGTGGTCTGGGCCGGACCAGGCCGCAGAGACAGCTTTCTCACCACCCCACATGCACTCCCCCCCACAGCCCCTTCGTGCATGTGCGCGAGGGCCCCCACCCTTTTGCGCCTGCGTGCGAGTGCCGTCCAAGTGCTTCCTGCCCTTCGTGCATGCGCATGAGTGTGCGTGCATGAGCGCCTTCGCGCATGCGTCTGAGCACGGGAGGGTGCCCCATCCTCTCCCACCGGTCTGCGGTGTTAAAAAGGTTGGGGACCACTGTGCTAGCAGATGCAGGTTCCTTACATCCCGACCCTGTAGAAAATCTGGGTAGAATCATGGAATAAACAAAGTAGCTGAGAGGAAAACAGCCCCTTTCACTTAATTGATCTAGTAACAGATGGAAGGACCATGTCCCCTTTCCCCTTCGGTATTCCTGTCCCTCCAAAAATGTTTGGAGTCGCTCTCTAATACTGGAAGTTTTTACCTGGCCAGTAAGCTGAAAAGAGTAGGGACCAAAGCCTGTGGCTGCTTGAGCTTCTTCTTGTGTTGCAGCAATTCCAAGATAAGTGTGACTCTCTGCCAGTTTACACTGTTTTCTTCTTGTGCGCCTTCCTGATCCTGAGCTTTTCTGCAGGATGAAAAACAGAGTAAGAAGCTATATACCTCTATTTAAGAAATGTTTACTCTTCTAATTCTTAAAGGGACTGATCCTAGAATAAAATGTCTGTAAACCATTTGCAAGGTGGTTAACTAATCCTACTACATGGGCAAGAGTAGTGAAACAACTCTGCCTGGATCCTCACCCTTTTTTCACTTCTCATTTAATAGCTGACTGTGAACAATGACTCCACTCTAAGTAGCACACATGGAGAGAATGATGACTGCATTATTTTTCTGGTCTTTTTTAGGAAATATTTTTAAAAATATCCATCAAACAGTTCCTATGACATCTCCATACTGAATTTTGTGTTAAGTATTTCCTCAATGGTTAATGTCATGAGTTACCCCTAGTTTTTAATGGACTGCTTCAGATGAATTGTTTTAGTACTGTCAATGTTCTATCCTTTTCTTACTATTTTTAACAGTAGTCTTTTATAGTACCTGTTCTTATGGTAAAACATTTTTTAAAAATAAGAAAGCGCTAGATTAAAAAGAATCAACCAGTCAATCAATAACGTTTAGCAGGATGCAGATTTATGTGATTCGTCAAATAGCGGAAGAAGATCTATGCAAACTGCTCCATCAACCACAGCTCTACGTCCTCTGTTAATCTATTGTTGTATATACATGGTGCACATGACATTCATATTTTCTATCCATTTTACCTCTGCTGTTGCATTTTCTGCCTTCTTGTTTGGTGAACAGTAGCTACGTTTTTTGTTTTTGGTGGAGGCTCCAGTTCCATACTGATCTGCTCAGCGTCAACTGAGATCTAAACATGGAAGAAGGTAACATTTTCTTCAAAGGAATGCAGCACAATGTCAGCCACCTACCAACACCACCCCCGATATTTTCCGCATGCCCAGACCAATTCTGCACTGCATATGCATGATCCAGCCAACTGATATGATACATGTCAAGTAGGCTGCTTCAAAGAGAGAAGTGGAGAAAAAGTGCAACAGTCAGGCACTCTCCATCATAGAGATATGCCATTTCCACCATCCTCCTGCTATCTCCCAGCAGACAGTGCTGCTGTTATCAATGGGATAATACCTGCATAATCTTCTGCTATTGTGATATAAATTCTATTCTTTTTAGACAGGATGATATTCTCATTATGCTGTGGGATTAATATCTTACCCCTTTAAAAACACTGTTGATTGTCTGTGCACATTGAGGGTTTTTGCAATTCAGGAGTAAATCAAACAATACTCCCAATATCTTTTGTTGAACCTTCCCATCTGGCAGTGCAGCAAAGAATGGTTTTGTAATCTGGAAACAAATAAAAAAAAGTGTACCATTTATAAATATAATTCTCTGGATTACTTTAAAATCCTGAAAGGAGTCGTCAATATTTTTCATACCTGGCAGATTGCAGACTGAGGCTGACAAACAGTGATGTTCAAATGACACCTCAGAAATCTCACAACCCAACTAAGATTTGACTCTGGTTTCTCTCAGCCAAGCTCAATACACTTTTCTCATTTTACAACAAGTTTTAGAAGAATATTATGTGCCCTGATCTTTAGGATAGGGCAGAAGATGAATTTAAATAGTGGTTTGCTGCTTCGTATGTCTGGAATGCAATCCCTAGGATTCTCCAGGAAATTTCCCAGACAGGACTCTGGGAAATACAGGCCAGGAACCTAGATCTACAGACCAGCCTTCTGGTTATTTACCACTGTTATTGCATTCACTGGTCTGATTTTACTTTCAAAAACACAGAAGCTGCAGTGCTACTACTTTGTACCACAAAGTGTCTTCTCCTTCTCTACATAGGGGGCACCACCCTGGTTGGTCAGTCACATGACAGCAGAGGTAGTTGACCAACCAGTGGGGGTGCGCCCTCTTGTTTTTGAAAGTGGAAACAGGCAGCCATGGAGAGAGATAACCAGAAAGCTGGTCTGCAGAATTAGGTGCAGAATAAACATCCTCTAAAGCAGTGGTCCCCAACCTTGGGCCTCCAGATGTTCTTGGACTTCCACTCCCAGAAATCCTGGCCAGCAGAGGTGGTGGCGAAGGCTTCTGGGAGTTGTAGTTCAAGAACATCTGGAGGCCCAAGGTTGGGGACCACTGCTCTAAAGAATCCTGTAACAACATGATTACCTGTTAAGGATAGGGTAGTGATAATTCTGAATACTGAAAAGTTTCTCAACCAGATTAGAATTAGGTAAGAGAGGTAATAAGAAGAAAAGCTTTACTTACTTAGGAGTAAGTTTTATTTAAACTGGGGCTTGACAATGGGATCAGGACAATTAAACACAACTGACTTTTTTATAGACTAATAAGCCAAGTTTATCTAGAATGTATTCCAATCACAGAATGCTGCCCACTCTTGTCTCTGATACATTACAAGAACATAAAATAGTTTGTTCTGGGTCAGAGTGAAAGAGGCTTGAAGCCACTGAAGGAGGCTTGAAACATTGCACTTTGAAAAGATTTTCTCATGAGCCTTTTGTGAAAGACATACCTAAGTGGGAAAGGAACCTTTAAAGGGCTCCATATATTAACACACATTGTCAAGTATTATAGAGAAAACATCCCCCTCTCTCTTAATCTTACCTGTCCAAGAGCTCTAATCTGGAATGTACAAATTCCTTTGTAGATTTCCTGGGAAGCATTTAAAGCTTTGATGAATAAATCCAAACTCTGTTGATCTGTGCAAAGGAATGCTGCTGAGTGCTCATTGTATTTCCCCAGAATGAGATGCAAAAGAAGAGCTTCATCTTTTAACATCTCCTCTGGTTTTTTAAGAGCCTTCTCCAGTAATCGATCTAAGACAGGCAACAGATGAGAAAGCACCACCTGAAAGTATAAGCATTTAAAATATTGGTTTAACAAACTTCCAGAAATGTGCACTAAAATATATATTATTATGTCCATAATATCCTGTATTCAATGAGTAATTTAAAACATAGAAACAGTGCTTCCAAACAGAGAACATGTACTTCCCCACAAATGCATTTTCACCCTTGTTTGATACAATGTGTCTTTGTCAATAAACAAAAATCTAATAGGTTTTCATACAGTGTTAGATATACTGAAACCTTGTAGGCAATAAGAACTGATGCCGAGAAAAATGTGTTTCCTTTGGCCAGTGTATTTTCAATCTTTGACTGAATTTATTGCCCGCACCTTGCCATTGACTTCATGAAGGATTTTCAACAGGTTTCGTGCAACGTATGATGGACATTCGAGGGCTTGCACACATTCAAGCAACACTCTCAGTGCTTCCGACAACTTTTGCGTCTTTTGCTTCTGCTGGATCTTTAACTCTTCAAACAAACTACCAAGGCTCTAGATAACAGAAAGACATCAAGGTTGCTTTATATTTAATGTAGGGAAACATTGCATTTTTAACTGAAAAACAGTTATTATAATTGTTTATTTGTTTGACAACCTGAAGTGTTACACAAGAGGAGCTGAAGTAACAGTGTTTAACAGATGCACAGATGTTTTAGCAAATGAATGGAGACTGTCCCCAACTAATGTTTTTGAGCTAAAACCAACTAACATGGTCCCAGTAAGAGTAGGCACACTAAATGAATAGGGCTTCTTAAGTCAACATTGATTCAATAGTCTACTCTATCTGGAATGAAAAGCTGGATTTAACCCCTCTGTATTTTGCACTGTTTACTACATTAATCTTTTGTACTGCTACAGACACCTCTCACTCAAGAAGCACCAGACTCAGTTTAACATGGCTGCTGAGAACTCCCAAGTATAGACTAGGCTATCTGGAAGGCATTTCCTGAAGGTGTTCTTCCACGAAGCTGCGTGTGTAATATTTTAGAAACAACAAATATGAGCTATCTGGAAGGCATTTCCTGAAGCTGTTCTTCCATGAAGCTGCAACAGGTGTGTAATATTTTAGAAACAACAAATATGTAAAACACACTGCACAAGATTTTCCCACTGGAAGAAAGGTGGGAAGGACCTGTGTGGTTGTATCCGCAGAAATACTGCAGTGACCTGTAGTGCTGCTGGCTTCAATGTCCCCTGACACATTTGAAGCAAGAGTAAGAGCTCATTGAGGCTCACTGTGAATGGGAGACTTCTCTCTTTAGTTTGGCCTGCAAACAAAGAAAAGCCTTGGCCCCTAGCATGCTTGGGGAACCTCTGGCTTACCAACATTTGATTAGTTTGAACACTAATCTATATTCAACTCCAGCAAAAACAAGAGAAACATGGACAACACTGAATTCTAGCTCAGCTAGCCACAGCTTTCTTTGAAGAATCTGCCTCCTTGCAGATGGCAAAATATGTTTGTTCAAACCTTACCTGGATTACGTAAGTTTGGTCAGATGTTATCTCTTCAGCTTTCTGTGTTAAATTATGAAGAATGGGATGAAATGCAGACTCTTTTATTCCACTTAGGGAATGCAGGCAGTTAAGAGCAGCTCTCCGGACCTCACTCACAGGACTCCCCAAATTTATCAGTAAAGATGCGATCACTGAAAAGGAAGGAAAAACAGCTGCTGTTTTAAAAACAGTTATTAAGAACAGTTATCAACCGCAAGGATGCCTTTCAAGGTGAAAAACACTTTCTGTGGGGGTGCCATTCCCAAGGTTGCTAAGCCACATGGGTGTTCTAGTGAGGGAAAACTCGCCTAGCATCCTGTGGCTGCTTCTGAGGGAAGGAACTGCCATCATTCTCCCTCCTTCTCATTATCATAGAGAGCTTGGCATAGAGGCCTTTCCTTAGGCCAATAAGAGGGCTCGGTTAATTGCCTTTCTCCAGACCAACCCTAATGTAACCATTGTCCTATCTGGACCCTGTCTACTATCTGTAATGCTGTCACTACCTGTGACCTTGTAATGTTAATAAAAGGACAGTCTCCTGGTGGCAGAGGCAGAACACAGCAGAAAAGCAGAACATAGGAGAACATCAGAGAACATCAGAGTGATCCAGATGACTTCTCATTCTGCTTCCTTGCTGAGTCGCCCACCAGGAGTACTGCTGGCAGACATCCATCTGTGTGTGTGGCTGACTTCTTCTATCTATTGCTAAGAGACTCTTTGCTATCCATTATCTGGTGATCATCACAAAGCCCATCAGCCTGCTCATTGCCTAAACCCCAACCACTTTCTGTCGCAATGAGAATTCAATTTTGTAGGCAAGGCTGGTCTAAAATCCCACAATGGTGGAATTAGTGAGAATGCTGCTGAAAAAAGTGATATCAATATCTGGTGTAGCCAGTTTGTGTACATCCAGATGTTCAGGGACTGCAACTCCCATAACTTTTGGGCAGAAAAACCAATGGTGATGGATAGTGAGAGCTGCAGTTCAACAAGACCTTATAGGAAACTGCCCAGAGTGGTCGACCAGACCAGATGGACGAGATAGATAGATAGATAGATAGATAGATAGATAGACAGACAGACAGACAGACAGACAGACAGACAGACAGACAGACAGACAGACATAAGAGCTGAAAGGCCACTAATTTCCTACTCAGTCGCTCTAGATTCATTCGAGTTACTACCTTTGTTTAGGATTTTACATTCAGGACATTTCTAGAATCAAACAAAGTAAAGGAATAGGTTTTGCTAGGGAGCACTGCAGCCTGTTTCATCTCTGCTGGTTGCTTTTCAACTGCTTTTCCAATGTGTCTTCCAATTACATTTTGTTTGACTGGGCCATGCCGGTCTTTCTAAATAACTCCTGTCCCCTGACAGGAAAGAGTGCAGTGTAACTCAATTTAATACACAGTGAAGAAGAGTGTACAGAGCGTAGCTTCTGGATTCTTATAGTCTTAGAAAATTCTATAAAGGAACATGGAAAACTTGGTGCCTGTTAATTGTTTAATTGTGCGGTGGAAATGTAGGATATTTAGTCTGATTCTCCAAAAGAACAATCAGCAGCAGGTATAAAAGAATTGCAGAAAAATATGGCAGCTATTGTTGGCTACACCTTGCATTCCCTCTCCACTCACGTCTTCTAATCCCATCAGTCATTATAAGTGCATGCAAGACACTAGATACAGTTGTGCCTCGCTTTACGTCAAAACTGCATTACGATTTTAAAATCAGCCATTAAACTGTGAATTAATTTATCCTCTTCACAATTTTTACAGTCTTTTTCTCCAAAATTGTGTTCGCCACACAGAAGCCACAGGAGTGTTTTCTAATCTTATAATGCTTGTCCGTATTTGAACTAAACCACAGTCACCCAAAGAGATAACTACCAAAGTTAAGCACCCTGTACAGAATTTTTCATGTATATGAAAAGCAGCCTCTGAGGGAAGCTTCTCTAAAAAACAGAACAGAAATCAATTAGATAATGGCCAAAACCCTATTGTGAAATATCCTGCATGTAAGGGGAATCACACAAATAGCGTTCCCGATTTCCTGGCCATTTGCTGCATCACTTGGGTCTGTCCAAGCATGCAAAAGAAAGCTGGAATGACCGTCCACCTCAGTTACAAGGTTTCCAACTCACACTATGCAACTGCAATAGGATTCTGGCCATTAAATAGTGACCTCTCCCTTGCTTGCTAAGAAACCTGAAAGACTTTTGACAACACAAAAGTTGGAAATCAACTTGAAAATATCGTATGGTGAGTTTCCAGCCCTTTGGAATGCATTAAATGGGGTTTAATGCATTTCAATGGGCTTTTTTTCGCATTACAACATTTTCGTTCTACAGCGATTTTGCTGGAACGAATTAACGTTGTAATGCGATGCACCACTGTATTTTAAAATCAGCCGTTAAACTGTGAATTAATTTATCCTGTTCACAATTTTTGCAGTCTTTTCCTCCAAAATTGTGTTTGCCGCACAGAAACCACTGGAGTATTTTCTAATCTTAAAATGGTTGTCCGTATTTGACATAAACTACAATCACCCAAAGAGATAACTACCAAAATTAAAAACCCTCTACAGAATTTTTCATGTATATGAAAAGCAGCCTCTGAGGGAAGCTTCTCTAAAAAACAGAACAGAAATCAATTAGATAATGGCCAAAACCCTATTGTGAAATATCCTGCATGTAAGGGGAATCACACAAATAGCGTTCCCGATTTCCTGGCCATTTGCTGCATCACTTGGGTCTGTCCAAGCATGCAAAAGAAAGCTGGAATGACCGTCCACCTCAGTTACAAGGTTTCCAACTCACACTATGCAACTGCAATAGGATTCTGGCCATTAAATAGTGACCTCTCCCTTGCTTGCTAAGAAACCTGAAAGACTTTTGACAACACAAAAGTTGGAAATCAACTTGAAAATATGGTGAATAGCACTTCCGCGTACCTGGAGAAGTTGGTGCTGCCAGTTTCTTTTTTGTCTGCACAGTCTGTGATGCAAGCATTGCGCATCCTATATACAAAGAACGAGTCTGTAGCACCGCATCTACCACAAAATCCATCTGGTTGGAGATGTTGAAACTGTAAGTCCATAAGACTGAGAGAAATTTGAACTGACTTTCTGGCTCATTCAAATGCACCTTCAAATTTAAAAAAAAGGGGAAAAGGGAAATATTTCACATGTATATGCTTTTCTTTCTTTTTCTATGTATCAGGTACCTTTGCTGTCCTCTGACTTCAAAAAGACAAACAGCTGCCTATGATTTCTTCAGGACTCGAAGGTTCCTGGCGCAGTGGTTAGGGAGAGGGCCTATGACTCAGGACACACAGATTTAAGTTTCTCCTTGGCAACAACACTCACAGAATGAGCGTGGGCCAGCCACTCTCCCAGCCTAAAGTACTTCACGGCATGTTGTAACGATGAAAATGGAGAGGAGAACTATTTACATCACCTTGTGCTCTCTGAAGGAAAAGCTGGATGAAAATGTAATGCATAACCAAATTAAACAAAAAACATTTTAAAATGACTAGTATTTTTAAATGCCCAAATTACTGTAATACTCAGATTTTTTTTTTCAGATTATACAGAAAAATAGTACCTCAAACAGAAGTCGCATCATTGCACGAAAATGATCCGCATATATTCCCTCACTGGCTCCACGGATTAGAGTATCAAACAGTCCCAAGAGCAGACATAAATAATCTTTGCTTGGTTTACTTAAAGTTTCAGGATTCCACCACATCTCATCTGTACAAATGCAGCCACACAAGCAGCAAACGGATATTACGTTAGAAGTTCCTCCAGAAACAAACAAACAAACAAAAAACCTTCTGCAGATCACAGGCCTAAGAACAGTAGTATAAAGATTTCAGTCCTTTCTGTCTGTTTCATTTGTGGATGTTGTATGTACAGGCAAATTAGCCGCTTGCATGATGGAATGAATGGGCTGACTGACAGGTGAGTGCTGAGTGAGTGACTAATAGGACAGTCATGACCCTTGGGAAGGAGAAACAATACCCTCCTGTAGAACTTTATGTTTATCACCTGTTTCACCCCCCACCCCCGCTTAGGTGGAAGAGGGAAAATACATGAATGGGTGAGTGTTTAAGAGATTCAGATAGAGATGAGACAGGGTCAGATAAGAGAAGACAAGTTAGTTAGGAACAAAGAACAGAGGTAGAGAGTGGTAAGATTTGAGAGACTTAGATAAAATAGAAATAGGATAGGTCTTAGATTAGGATTATGGATCCTCAGTATTTTTTTTTAAAATAGGTATTTCAAATGTTTATTAACTTTTTAAATTGTGTTTTTTACATTCTTTGATTTAAGCCTATTTTAATGATCATGTCTTAATGATCATGTATTGTGATTTTATATGTGCATTTTTGAAGGGCTGTACACTGCCATGTATTCCTTTATTGAAAGAAAAGTGAGATATAAATAAAGGAGAAAAGGAAAAGAAAGTGGAACTACTGAATGGCTTCTGGATTGGGAACTGGTGTTGGCAGTACTACCTAACAGTTTGAATCCTAACAAAGGATAAACAGAAATTCTGAATTCATATTCTTCCACAAGGTAAATTAAAGGATAATGAAGAAGCCCAAGAGTCCTAAATGTCTGGACAACAGCAGAGCTGTATCTGTGGATGTGATTCCCTAGGTACTGGTGGAAAGTGGAAACTAAAGATGGGCACTTATCACGGTTTGACATGGTTCGGAAGATCAGACTTACAGGTGGTGTGCAGGCTCCCCAGACTCCGTGCCCCGCCTCCTCCTTGCGGGCGCCGACTCAGAGGAGGAGCGCAGGGCACAGAATCTGGAGAGCTCATGCAACACCTGTCGGCTTGATCAGACAAACCACGCTGAACTGCCGTTAAGTGCCCGTCTCTAGTGGAAACCCAGGTGAGGGAGGCTTGGGGTGTCACAGATATCAAGAATGTTGGAATCATTAGAAAATAAAAGTCTAATGCTACAGCAAACAAAGGAATTTTAAGATCCACTTTTTAACATTGGTGTCTCTTGCAATAAGCCTACCTTTTGAAAAGGAATCCGGAGGGACCAGGCCCTGAATAAAGTTTCTCAGTAAAACAATGAGCAAGACAGAATCTTCTAAATCCGCTGCTGCTCCAGCATTTAGCTTTTGTATATATTCTGCTAGAACCCCCAGGAACGGTTCACTGCCAGAGGTAAACTCAATGGAGAAGTTATAGAGAAATGCCTGAAAATGAAAATACAGCTCTGTACGTGTTGTAGCAGTTTTTCTTTCTTATTTATATTAATTACAAGGAACTTGTGATTTAAGTTCCTAAGTATTTTGGAATAAATCTGACTTTAATTCCACAATAAAATAAAATAAAAATAATATTATTTGCCTAAGGATGCCTCTGCTCAGTAAAGGAGGTAGTGAGCCTGAGCCCCACTCCTGGAGCTATGCAATAGTTTTAAAGGCAGCTTTTAATCTTTTAAGAGTAGAGTTTGGTCTAGATGGGCGGGGTATAAATTAAATAAAGAATAAATTTTAAAAAAATCACCCAACCCTCTTATGATCAGTTCCTGACTCCAGGCATTATGTAAAACGTAAAAACACAAACTGTGGGCAAGCTGACCAAATTGAATCCCTTGCCTCACCCTAGCTGTGCAGTAACATCCCCTCATTCCAGCCTTTTCCACCACAAGAAAAGAAGCATGGATGGGCATCCTCTGCCTTTTACATTGCCTCCAACTTCAGCCTGCCCACATGGCTAGGGACCTGCAGAGAGGAAGGCCTCCTTTCCCATTGCTCAAGAGGCCCAGGCCCAGCAGCGTCTCTCCCAAACTTTTTAGGCTGTAAGCCAACGGCAAAGAGTAAATTCCTAACCCGTTTGGAAGCCTTTTCAGCTGCAAAACAAGGGGGAACGGCTTCTAATACACAAAACACATTTGGCTCCCGCCACACAGGGTCAAGCCACACAAATCCTGTTTGTGTACTACCACTCTGTGTAGCCACAGCCGTAATAAGAAAAGGCTTCTAATATAAGCAGGAATCCTACAGGCAAACTTGACTGAAGCTCAGTCAACAATTTTGGAAGAGATTCTGGTGCAGCTGAAGAGAATCTAACAAAAAGCAAAGTTTCCCTCCTCCTTTCTCACGCCATCCTCTTTTCCCCACCCCAAGTTCAAAAAAAAATAATCAGTCTTTACCTCAGCAGGATAGCTGTCCTCAAGTTTTCGCATTTTTCTACTCAAAAAGCGGAAGACCATCAGAGCCAGGGCTAGACGGTCTTCTTCCACTTGCGAATTACAGCAGCAGGACTGGACCAGGACAGAGGCGATCACATGGGCTGTTACCTTCTGCTTCACAGTTTGAGCCTCCTTCTCTGCAATACCAATGAGACCTTCCACCTTGAAAGGAAATTGCAAAATTCTAAGACAGTTTCCAGTGATATTAGTTGCTCTGAAAGGTGCTTGGCCAATCGTTGCAGAGAAGTCTCACATGTCCTTGCCAGAGCTTGGAAGAGTTGCATTTTGGGACTACAACTCCCCAACATCCCCCAGCTGATATTGCACCTGGCGAATTCTGGAAGTTGTATTCCCAAAACAGAACTTCCCAGAGTCCGCTGCTGGCTTCCCCATCTATTTTCCGTTTCAACAATGACTGCAAGGGCAATTTTGTCTGCGAGAGGGGCAAGATGGTCCTTGTGCATAAGACACTGGGAGGTAGATGCCCAATCTCACTCTAATTTGGCTCCCACACCTTATAAAGGTTTTGGGCAGATGCTCTCAAGGTAATTTGTGTAGAGACAAAACACAGACTACTGCCCCGAAAAAAGGCAGGAAGTCACATAATCTAGCACCTGACCGTTTATTTGATTCTCCCAGCTGCCTCCTGTCTTCTCATACAGCCAAGCAATGGACTAGAGCAGAAAGTGGGATTTAAAAACAAAGCAAATGAAATGCACAAAGCCCATCTACTGAGTCAAATATTAGTCCACTTAGTTCAGTATCGACCACCAGAGGTATGCAATTTGATACTACTCAAAAGGTTTGGGATTATGGTTCTCATTGGGCCCGATCTGCATAGCTTGGGTAATGGATTATGAAAGTGGAAAACATTATATTGCCCACCCTTGGTCTACAGTCACTGAAACCAGTTCCTTAGGTTTTCACACAGGTGTCTTGGACAGCCCTACCTAGAAATATCAGGGACTGGCCCTGGGACATTGTATGTGCAAAGCATGTACTTTAATACTAAGCTACATCCCTCTCTTCTTAGGGAAAATTTCAAGTCCTCTCCCAACAATAAAGTTTCCAGAACAAAGCAGCATGTTTTAAAGGCAACATTCTGCCTACCATGTATGAAAGTTTTCCACCATTTCTGTCTTAAGGATACAAATACAGCAAATAAAAAAGCTAGACTATGAAGAGGAAAGGCCGTATCACAGTGAATGTTTGCTTTTCATAAAAATGCAGTACCTGTTAAGGTACCCAAGAATTTTTTGAACTGGAGATGCCAAGTAGCAATGCCTGGAAAAACCATCAACTAAGACCTTGGATAGCTGTTGTCACTGTCAGAATAGATTTTTCTGAGTTCAGTGGACCCATCATCAAATACCTAAGGCAGCTTTGTATGTTCTCATCCTTCCACACTGCCACTTATCCATGTAAGTATCCAGCATCTGTCATCAAATTCAGGCTTCAGTAACTACAGCACACATACACACTTAATGCACAGGTTGTACTGTTTTATTGTCATATCATCTGTATCAAGCGCCCATACTTCTACTGCTGAAAACTGTCATTTCTATTTAAAAGTAGACGATAAATTGCATACTAACGCTCTGTGACACAAAGGAAGGGTCCTCTGAAATCAGGTTATCTGACAAGAGGGCGATCAGTTTTGCATTAGATGCACGCATCACATCTTCTGGCTTCACCGCTTTGATTGCATTCTGGAAAGCTATTTCAAAATAAGACCAAGAAATAACCACATAAGATAAAATAAGAAAACACTCTGAATAATGAAAATGGGAGATACTCAATAACCTCTTCAAAACCACTGCATTCAGGGTAATCCTATTCATATATTTTTGAAGTATTAGTATTACTGAGCTTTTTTACATGCACTTACACCACATAATTATTTTCGAAAAAAGTCTCATTTCCAGCACATGCAATACAAGATGCAAACTTTCCAACACAGTTCAAATGAATTTTTATACTCTAAGTCACATCCCGTCTTTCAAAAGCTACAATACCAACTGCACCTCTTTCCAGTAGGCATGCTGGCTGCAGGTAATCTGAGTATTGTACATCAAACCAACAACCTTCCAAAACCCTGACCTCATATTTATCATAGGTTAACTGAGTTCTGATTTCTACCTACTGAAAATAGATTCACACAGCAAAATTCTATTTACCTCTTGCTGTTTCAATGAAGATGTTTCTCTGGAACTCTTATAAGAACAATATACCTACATAAGTATAGGATCAACCTACAATTCTCTGAAGCCAAAATTCCAGTGGCACGCCATAAGCTTCAGAAGAGGCAATGATCTGTGTTCGGAGGTACCAGAGGACTGTCATGCCACAGAAGATTTTGTTTGAGCAGTTTAAGTTATTTTCATTTACCAGTAATTCTAAAATTATAAATTAGTTCTCACAGTACCAAAAACATCTCTGGCTTCTTTTCTCAACTATATTTCTATGTTTTTTTAAAAAAGAATGCTCAATATTTGACAATAGATGATGCTAAAACAAATGAAATCATTCTGCCACTTCTTCTCCTTTGTGCGCAGGAGGCCTTTAAGACCTTTTCTGCACACTTCAGAAAAAAAACAGCTGTGCTTTGCTGCTGAAATTGAGCAGCAAACAGCTGAATCTAAAGAGCAGCCTTAATAAGGGTTACCGCAAGTCATTTTATCAGTGTCAAATTAAGGATGAAAGCTTTAATGAACACTCTCTTTGCCAGCATTTCCCTAGCATTTCTTTTTCTAAAACAATAACTCTTTAGAGAACTACGTCTTTCTCCCTCTAACAGGGTGTTTAAACAGTCTGAATGGTTTATTTGAACAGGAAATATTTCCACCTACTCCTTACAAAGTCACAGCCAGTTGCTTTTTCAAAAGGTGTCGTTTCCAAAGTTGACTTAAAATTATTCTTCAGTGAATTAAATTTATTCTGTAAGGGATTAAAGGTAATTGGGAGGCACTTCATTTGTAATAACAAGTACAGTGGTGCCTCGCATAGTGAGGTTAATCCGTTCCGGATTAACCCTCGCTATGTGAAAACATCGCTAAACGGAACGTAAAAACCCATTGGAACGCATTAAACAATGTTTAATGCGTTCCAATGGGCCCTAAACTTACCGTTCAGCGAAGGTTACCGCAAGTCATTTTATCAGTGTCAAATTAAGGATGAAAGCTTTAATGAACGCTCTCTTTGCCAGCATTTCCCTAGCATTTCTTTTTCTAAAACAATAACTCTTTAGAGAAGTATGTCTTTCTCCATTTAACAGGTGTTTAATCAGTCTGAAAGGTTTATTTGAACAAGAAATCTTTCCACCTATTCCTTACAGTCACAGCCAGTTGCTTTTTCAAAAAGTGTCATTTCCAAAGTTGACTTAAAATTATTTGACAGTGAATTAAATTTATTCTGTAAGGAATTAAAGGTAATTGGGAGGCACTTCATTTGTAATAACAAGTATTTCAACCCGAGTAGGTGTGTGGGGAAATTTTTATTGTAATAAAATATTATATATTTGGGGGAAAACTACTAAACTATACCACTTCATCTGAGACTATATCCTTTTTTCCTGTGCAAACCTCATGGACGTTGTGCAGCCTGGCTTTAGCGTAAGGACATTTTAATAAGTTTTAAAGACTTACCTTCTGGACAGCCTTTCAACAAAGGATGAAGGGAACAAATACCAGATTCCATTATACAAAGTGCCATTTTCCATTCAGTGGATTTTGGATCACTACCAGTTATTACTATGAACGGCAGCAGTTGTAGGACTAATTGGTGTAAGAGATCTTTGTTCTCTTTAAGAACCTCCTTTTTAATTAACAGGTGGATTGCAGTCCCCAGGATCTTGCACCTACCATATACACACAAAGGCAAAAGAAGGATGTTTTTAGTTTGTATCTTCACTAAAAAAAACCCCTACAAATCAAGGTTCTGCTTTCTCAAGCATATTTTTCATGTTCTGAAATGATTAAATAACATCTTTTATGTCAAATATACAGGGAGATCTGGCCCAAAATATTTTCCTGTATGAGACAAAGCAGCCACCCACTCAAGTCAGATTATTTTGGCAACTGAGACAAAAAATCCCACTACCAGTGCTTTCACTGCCAGACAGTAAAAACAGAGTAAATTATCTAACAGTATGCTTTCCCTTCATGACACCCATGAACGCAGCCTCTTCGTTTTAATAGGAAGCCTGTGCTGCATTTATTTAGAGTATATTGCTAAAGCGGTTGTGGAGGGCCTGGAAATCGCCATCTGCCTCATTTTCCATTCTCCTGCCCTGCCCCCCCATTACTGTCACTTTTGGTTTTGGAAAATAAGGCTGTTTTGAACCTCTGAAAAGTCTGCTCAGCTATCCCCTCCACAACACAGCCTAAAATTGTATCTTCTGGAAGTTTCTGATTGTCCATTTTCAGGCTAAATTTTTTCATAGGCAGTGAAAAGATCAGGAGGCTGACTAGGGCCAATGAGCCACCATCTTCTACATTCTTTTATATAACTGAATCTATTAGCTAAGTATATTGCCACGCTTAGTTTCTTGTAAAAAATAGTCTAACTATCTTAACATTTTTATGTGGTTTTGGTTTTCCCTATATTTCATATATTTCCATCGTTCTGGATTGTGCATCACTGTGATAAAAATAAAGAAAGCTACCTAATTATATTCACGCCTTTTTGGTGATGGCCTCCAGTCTCTACAGTAAGTTACTAACTGAGACATGCCAGGCTCCTTCCCTCCTTATATTTAGGAAATTGGTGAAAACATAATTATTCAAAACTGTCTTCAACAACTTTTTCTCCTGGATGCCGTTACTTGTAACAAAAAATTAGTATGAATTTTAGACCTATACTTGAGAATTGCCATATTGTTGAATGTATTTTGCTACATGGAGTCTTGTGGGGTTTTAAGTGTTAACTTGCAAACTACCCAGAGTACTGCTTGCACTACTGAGGCTGTATATAAATCAAATCAAAGCCATCAATTAATATTCTTTTAACTGACACCAATCCCACAATAAAAGAATTATATCTGCAACTTTTTGACCACAAGACAAGTCATTGAATGGTATCTGCAACATATCTTATAATTTCAAAAGGTATTGGCAGACTCCACAGAAAGAATCCATGTCAAGCACCCAACACCATTTATTTGGGGGGGGGGAACAAATATAATGTGAAAGTCTTAACAATGTAGAAAAGAGTCATTTACCATTTGTCATCCTTAGAGAGGTCTGCTCTTTCAAAGAGGCATACCAGATTAAAGGCAATTTGTTCATCACAAGTCTTTAGACTAACCAAGAAAGTCTAGAATAAAGCAAAGATTACAATTTTTAAATTTTTGCCCACATATGATATAAACCTAATGCATAATTTTAATAAAAAATACATCTCAAGAAATGCATCTTATATTGATGGAAAATATGGTAAGCTAACTTTCACTACAGGCCAACATACTGTAATTGCTATTCTTAATTTAGCATTGTACTTGAATATTAATTAACCTTAATTACAAGTACCTTTCAAATGTTACAAACAATATCACAAGGCCTGAATCGCCACTATTTATATACAGTGGTGCCTCGCATTGTGACATTAATTCACGCCTAGAGTGGTCCTGAGCTGACTAGATAAGCGGGATATAAAATAAATAAATAAATAAATAAATAAATAAATAAATAAAATTAATGAATTCATTCCAGCGAAATCACTGTTGAACGAAAATGTCGCAATCCGAAATAATTTTTAAACACGATTAATGCATTCCTATGGGCTTAAAACTCGCCATTCAGTCAAGATCCTCCATAGCGCGGCCATTTCTGGTGCCTCTTAAGCGAGGAATCCGTCCCAGAAAACAGCAGACGGCCATGTTTTTTTCCCGGTGGCCATTTTGAAACCGCCAATCAGAAAATGGTCGCTTTGCAATGATTGGTCATCGCAAAGCGAAAATACCATAGGGAACATCGCTAAGCGATCACAAAAGCGATCGCAAAATCTTCGTCGCAAAGCGATTTCATCGCTAAACAGAGCACTCGCTAAGCGAGGCACCACTGTAGTAGTCCATTAGTTTGCTTGTGCACTATATAAATATCTTCATACCCTGATATATATGCCCATGCTTTCCAAGTGTTGGTGATCTAATGAAGAAAATGCTAAGTGTTGTGAGGCTCTATTTCTGTAACCTTTATATTTATCTGGAGAACTCATGTCCCTAAGAAAAATCTGCAACAGCTGATACAATTCACTAGGATGAAACCAGTCCACTCAGTTAGAATCCAGGATAAAAATAAGGTCAAATTATAATCTGGCCCCTGGCCTGAAATTTCCTAACTCTAAACAAGAATGGATACATTGTTGCTTACTTTTATTTTACATTTTCCCCATCTTTTGTCCTAAATTCAAGCCAGCATTTGTGAGTCTTCTCCCTAACTTATTTCTGACAACCACCCTCTGAGGTAGGTTAGGCCCAGAGAGTATGACTACCTCAAGATAAATCCATGAACTTCAAGGTCAAGCAGGGATCTGAAAACAAGCCTCCTGAGTCCTAGTCCAACCTTCTAATCATGCCAGATTAGCTCCTCCAATGCACTCTTAATCTAGTGTACAATCTTATAAGTGACTGCTCAAAAGCAAGCTCATTGAGCCAAGGGTATAGGACTTCACAGAATTAATGGAGAGCCCTAACAAAGATTCCCTTTCCACAGATGTATGGTGTTTGTAGAAGAACCATTTTAGAATAGTTTGAAATTCCCAACATCCTTTGGCCTTTTGAGTGACCAAGACGTACCTCTAATGCACTAAGAGATGATATAACTACTTCTAGGTTATCATCCTTCAGTCGTGCTAAAATTGCCTCTTCAATGAAGGAATCATCAAAGCCCTCCTAAAAAGAAAGGGGGAGAAGGAATAAGCATCCTAAAATTAAGCTACATTGTCACAAGCTAATATTTGCAGTGAAAAAACTGAATCTAAAAGAACAAACCTGTATCTGATGTACAAAAATACATATACTCTTTTTATGCAATACATTATAGGTGACAGTAAGCAGTAGAGATCAAATGGTGCACAGAATCACAATTGTAGCGGAAGGTTAACTCTCTTGTGTACTTTATAACCAAAACTTTGAAAAGTTACTTTTTCAAGACTACAAGTCGAAGATGTCCTTACACAGCATGGTCACCAGTCACGGTGTCTAGGGAAATGTTGGAGCTATAATTCGAAGTAGTAAACTTTCTAACCTAGCTGAATGTTTCTTTACATTCTTATTCTCAGCCTTGTATTTAGACTGCACATCATTTACAAAGAACAAAGATGGGTGTGTATGTTTAACTGTAGCCAACAAAACAAAAGATTTCCTTTTGCATAAGCCTGGGCACAGGTAGGAAAAATGTGGCTAGAACAATATCGTACACTCAATACAGCTTCTAGCAGAATGAGCAATACAATGCTGGTTTGCATGCAGAAATTCCTAGATTTCATCTCTGTTGTCAGGAATTGGCAAGATCTGTCTTAAGTACTCCCAGTCAGTGAATGCTGAGCTAGAGTGTTCTATCATATGATCTGTAGAATTTCGATCGCTCTTAGTTCTTGCCCCAAAAAAAGATAGTACATGGAAAGATAAATGTCCTTATGAGACAAAACATAAGATTCAATGAGAAGTAACTTCAGAAAATTTATTATAAATATACCTATCTCTGTCACAACCTGGAACAATACTTGCAGAGCTGATACTGCATAAGGAGAAGCCATGAGGGACCAGACCAAAGGCCTATCTAGACCAATATTCTAATTACACAGCAGCTGCCAGATACCTACAAAACACACCTAAGCAGTACATGATCTGATAGAAGTCCAGTATAGAAGTAAACTGCTTTGTACAAGAATTCCAAAAGAATGATGAAGAAGAACCAACCTTTGATGCTTCAATGATTTCCTTCAAGTGCTGAATAGCCAGGACTCTGACTGCTGGCTGTGGATGATTCAAGCTAAGCAGCAGAGATGTATCAGAATCTTCTAGAAACTAGAAAAACAATTTTACAATTACTCAGGCAGCAGTTGCATGCCCACCTACCTGAAACTGCGCCCAACAGAACTCAATGAGACTTATTTCTCAGCAGACATATGTGAATTTGGACTGTCACTATCTTAACATAAAAAGATTATGGTGAATGAAACAATTATGTAAAAAACCATTTTTAACATGCATCCACATATACTAGAGCTGAATAATGTAGTCATTTATTATATTTGTTCTGTTTTTTATAGGATTAGCCCCATGCCATCTGTTTTTAAAGGTTATTTGTTCTTTTTTTAGCACAAATTTATTTTCCCTCACATTGATTGTTTAGGAGCTCAGAATACAGCTCCAAAAATAGGCAGATACATTCTTGTGCCACAGTCATTCACTTTATTTCTGCAACAACAGCGAAGACACATGTACACAGTTCCTCTGACTCACCTGGTATTTACCCCCACTCACTGAAAGGGAAATAAATTGATGGAAGAGTTCTTGCTCCTTTTGGCTTCTAACATCTTTCAGATACTCCTCCAATACCAAATCTAGAGTTCTAGGATATCTGGAAAAGGCGAAGAGGGAATATTCTAAGGCACCCTATTTCTAGAATTTCAGGACAGGTAAATATAGCTTTCAGACGATTAATAAAGGTGCAAAAATATATTCTACTCTTAACTCACTGTAATTTTAAAACAATGCTTTCCACAGCAAGCAGGGTGGGTTGGTTTCCCACTGTGGGTTGACTGGGGTGGAGATTAAGGTCAAAGAAGGATGTATCCATTTTCTGAGCAAGGGCAGGCATGGATCTGCATCTTGAATTTTTTTGGCTTAGTTTAAAAAATAAGTATTTTCTTTAAACTAAATGTTTTCTTTTCTTTGGGGAATCTGAACTCTACTACCCACTCTTACAATTACTAACTCCTGCCAATGCACGGACTGGATCCATAGGTGACAATTTCTTCTTTACTTACTTTCTTTCAAACAGCCTGATTAAAGAAAGCAATTCTTTATTAATCTCAGCCATTTTGTCAGAATCAGAGTCACACTCTAGACCATACGATATATATTCCTTCAGAAATTTACTGAAAAGATGACAAGAAACAAATTAACATAGGAAATTAAAAGCAGCCATAGTGAATCAGGCTGAAGGCCTGTCTAAGCTAGCAATCTGTTCACACATCAGATAACCAGGTGCCACAACCAAGACATAAATGCAACAGCAACCCCCAAAAAGAAATTATCTTTTCATTATTTTGAAAACATTCTTATGATTTCAAACTTTAAACTATATACTGGGCCCACTTGTCTTTTTAAAACATATTGATCTCTAACAAAATATTTTCCCCACAACCTAAATGCCAAATACAACTGGATAATTTATAATAAAACTACATTGGAATTTAAAGCTTTGAAATAACAAGATTTGTATAGGCTCCAAGTTATAGATCTTTGGAAGGAAAAAAAGGAGGTGGGGGATCTGGAAGAGACAAGCAATACAATGTTCTGTCTGGAAAACCAAACAGTGATACAAAAATGATTCAGTGTCCACCAGAAGTTCTCAAAGAAACCAAAGGTATGAGATAAAACTAGCTCAGTAAAAGAGATTAGCTTACCAGGCCAACAAATGAGCCATATCTTTTTCTAATGGTATATTTGCAATTATGGTTTCTAGATGTTTTATATTGTTTTGATTAGCAACCATATTTGATTCTTCTTCTACTTCTGAAAATACAAAGGTATTAAAAAGACAGATCAACAACTTCTAGAAATAAGTACATTTAATATAAATATTCCCAATTTTTAGTTGTGCTTGAACAACTAAATTCCATAGTATAGCATGTTTAACATTTTAATTTAACATTTTTGGCCATGGTGGATGATAGATATCACATCTGAATGTTACGTTGGGGGGGTGGGATGAGATCAGGGGCACTTTCCCCCTCCAAGATCTACTGGAGGCCATACTAATATACCTCAATAAAAGGAAACCGCAAAAGAAAAAGAAGTGGCTACATCCCACCTCTGTTTTTTAAATATTCTTTAAAAAAATTAAAAAGTTGGGAGTCTATATTTTGTTTACAAAAAGGAACGGTAGTGTCTGAAGGCTTTCAAGAGCAGCAATCTTTTTTCCCACCAAATATTTTTTGGGAGGGTAAGGGAATTCAGGCACTGCAAAAATGGGTTAGGGGAAACACATCATTTGCACCCCTGCATTAAGCCATGTTTTATGTAGACCATGTTGCTTTAGCCAAGAATTGTCCAGCAGATTAGTTACAATTCTGGATTCAGGCACAACAATTTAAGATTTAAGCTAACTACAGATTGTAACAAGCTATGGTTTCTAGTTGTGGTTTACAGCTAGCTAAGAAACCACTGCTTCTTTGTGGCGATGGTTTCAAAAAGAATAAGAAACCAGGATTCAAGGACCCACAATGCGATGTACAATTCCATGCAAACTTTGCTACAGCAAAGAAGCCAATGTAAGCAATACTGTACTCTGTCCTATCAGCTCACCCCCATTAATCATGCTTTCAATGGAAGCAAAACACCTAAATTCCATGTATAAGTTGCACTTTTAATTGTATTAACATACCTGCCCTTCCATAGATAACTGATTGAACCAGGTGTGGCAACATGTAATGCAAAACTGGGCTGATGTCATAACTGGCTGACATTTCTTGAAGGGTGGCAATCAAGTGGGGTATATTACACAGATGGGTAAATGGCCTGCACAAGAAAACATCAAATGGCAATCATAAAGGTGCTTCCTTACTAAATATTTTAAAGAATTTTCAGTCATTAAGACAAATTACACAGTCGAAGCAAAATAGCATAGTACAGTTTTCATTGAGCTGAAATTGTTATTGTTGTTTAGTCGTGTCTGACTCTATGTGACCCCATGGACCAGAGCACGC